CATTACCGATAACTATCCTTAACTGAATTGATTGGAACTCGTTGTATAAAAGCTTTAGTTACTTTCTATTACTGCTGGCAAATATTTAATCCTTTATATGATTTACCTTGTTTGAGAGCAGTTTTTTCGGTGTTCTCTCTTTTTTCCTGCAATAGCAAAAGAGTCTACATTTTCATTCCTTGAAATAAACCAGTTATTGGAAGCCAGTTTAAACGAAAATGTTCTGACATAGAAACTACTGGTTATTCTAGTTTCATCATACCAGAATAAAACTTTATACTAGCACTAAATATTTTACCTGTAAACTAAAAATCCGTTTGACGAAGTTTAGATGGCACTTAATCACTCCATGCTATCGAATACTTATTGTTATTTTTCAGAATTGTTGTATTGGTTCATTTAAAGGTATTTATCTATAAGATAAAACAACAATTTAACAAATGAAACGGCCATTTGTCTTTAAAGTGGTCAAACATTAATCTTTTTTTTTAAGTATCGGAAAGCTCGTGAAAGTGATAATTGATATAATTGCGATGGGAAACTAGCAATTACTCCACCAATCAAGCAGACAAAGCTTTTATAATTTAATATTACACAATTTATTTCAGCGTTGGATGGTGCAATGGATTTTTTGAATTTATATGTCACGAGGGGAGGCGTTATGCGTCATAGAGATAGTTATGGTAATTTACCACATGTATCATTGCTAAAGAACTGTAATGCGAAAAGGGAAGAAGATGGAAAAATAGCCAATATTGTCAAATTCGTAATAAAAAACTGTAATCAATCCATCAATGATAAGGATGGTCATTCTCTGCTACATACTGCTGTCAAAAAGGGTTTAGTAAAAACGGCAAATGTTCTACTGAAGACTGGTGCATGCGTTAATACTGAAAACAGAAAAAATGAAACACCCCTGTATCTCGCAACGACTGCATGTAACCGCAGAAAACTTGGAGATCTTCTATTGAGGAAAGGAGCTGATCCTAATAACCACTCGAGCTACACAATACCTATCATTTACGCTCTAACGCACGGTGACGTAGATACAGTTATGTCACTAATTAAGGCAGGGGCAAATGTCAACGTAACAGACTATTTCAGTAGATCACTTCTTCATGTATTATTTTTAAATGAATCAGCAAAAGGTTTGTTTCATTATAATAATGATTTTTTTCTCTTTTCTTGCTGTTAATGTCTTCTTTTGTTTGCTACTCTTATCAAGTCTACGTTTTCAATTTTTATTGTTTGATATATATACGAACACTGAAGTCGGAATCAAAGGATAAGAAATCTATTTCTTGAATCTAAATAATGTTTTGTAAACACAGTATACTGATACACTTATACTTTGTAGTAAATACAAGTAAATCGTATGTGTAATACAATAAATAAAAACCGTCGATATCAGACATGTTTTGAATTGTGGACACTTTGATGTGCGACACATATGAAAAATCTGAAATTTCCCCCTATAAAACTAAAAGTAGCCCTTGTGTGTCACCCCTCCCCCACCGCCAGTCCCGTTGCATTTATCAACGGGGATATGAAATTGGTTCCGTCCATTCCATTCCAGCCGACTATTTATTTAACTTACGCATTGACGTTACAGAAGATATAAATTTATTTTTCCGTTATCACTTTGTAGTCTCCATGCTAACACCTTCCTTTTTTGTCAGATCCATAAAAACCATTGGTGATACACCAGATAAAGTTAATAAAATTGGGTATGGAAACAGGGAATGTATCAAAGAGACAACACTCCGACAAAAGAGCAGAAACAAAGAAATATGAGTTTTAGATAAATATTCCTAAAGTAATGAACGAAGAGATGCTCTCGCTCGGACACACACTTCATTGTCTTGTATATTATAAGCGCATATTCTGAAGCATGGCATGGCACAAAAATCAAACTATGTAAAAAATTAAACTGAGAATGAAAGCGGAGAATATGTCAAATAGACAACAACCCGACAAAGATAACAAATAGGGTAATATGAGTGTTAGATAAATATTTCTAAAAAAAACTTAGACATGTCTTCCTAATATCTATAAATTGACAATGAGGGTAGTTTGAAAACAAAACTTTACGACTAAAGAGATCATTTCAGATTCTCAATGGTGAACTTTCCATTTCTATATATCAACATTCCAGTTTCGCCTGCATATGGAATATATAAGTTGAAACAATATTCCAGGGCTTGCATTTCATATCATTATTTCCTTGATAAATAGTTGCTGCTTACAAAGAATCTATAAAACCACAAGTTCCAAGTAGTGGAGTTGAAATCATCTCCCGTAAATTTTAACGACGGCATCACGAGTTTGTTGCCCGTTATGTACGATCTGTTTCACAAATGACTACGGATTTATTTTTCAAATTGTCGTAACCATTTTCACCCAAATGTGAACTATCGAATATGACTTATCATCGAGTTTATACTTGCATGAGCAACACGATGGGTACTTCATGTGGAGCAGGACCTGCTTTACTTTCCGCTGCACCTGACATAACTCCCGGCTTTTGGTGGGGTTCGTGCTCCTTGTTCTTTTTTTGTTTGATGTTATTTGTCTTTAAGTCTTTTCCCTGTTTTCGATGATTGTCAGTTTATTTTCGACTTATGAGTTTCATCATCCCTTTGGTATCTTTTGCCTTCCTATTTCTATAATGATATAATTAAGTTTCTAAAATGTGGAACAATCATTTCGGGCTATGAACTTTCTAAAATCTTTGATATTAATTCTTGTCGCCGGAATAACATGAATAACATCTTCATTTCTTTTGAGATCCTCAGCATTTTTTGTAAAGAATTCAGCTTATAAAACCTTGCCAATGGATGATTTTCTAATACCATTTTTACCGGTAAAGAAATCCGATTTTAATTGTGTGTGTTGTGAAGTATGTGAGCTTGTTCATAAAGATGCATTTTTTAAAAATCACCGTCAATTTATCACTTTTTAATGATTTGTTGTTGTTTAATTGTTGCTTGCTAAGTAAAAAATAAACCTTCACATCTAAAAAATATGTAGAAATAACATTCAACCGCTCTCTTTCTTAGAGATTAATCACATTTGTGTTAAAGTTTTACACTAGGAGTTATTCTTCTGGAACATATATATAATATGGAAATCGACATTTTATGTGCTCTTGTTCCTACAGCTGATTCACAAAAGGGAGGGGTAGTACATAATTTAGTATACGTTTCAACTATTAGAAGTTCAAGCATATAAAGGTTGAAAATATGCCGCACAACCCTATTATTTTACTTTTGCAAAAAAGTAGAATATATGAACTTTCAACTCCAGGATACACTTTATTACGAAATTTCATGGTAATATTGGCACAGTTGCTTAGGTAACATATAACCCTGTATGATAAGTAATTTCATGAAATATGCATAGTTGTACTTTAAATGTACATGATGTATAAGAAGAACTTATATTACCCGTCGCAGTCATTGAATCCCTTTGATGTTTGATGAAAATTGTTGTAAGGGTGTTTTGTTCTGTTGCGATCCCAAAAGTAAGCCCTAACGCCTAATTTTGCTTCTTGTGACTGCAGCATAAAAAATAAAGCTAGAGATACGAAAAAAAGCATCTTTAAAACTTACCATACAACTTTCTCCTACAAATATATGTAATATTTCATTTGCACAGAAATAGCAAAAAGGAAAAAAATAAAAAAACAGAGAATTATTCCTACCCCTGGGTAAAAACAAAGATATATCTTTAAACGTTTATAGGCTGAGATTTAATTATTATAAATCTCTTTAGTATGTATAGAAAGCACTAATCGTGCGCGTGCTTTGAAATTATTTAAAAACAGATTTAAATAGTCATTTTTATAAACTTTTGATAAATGTATGTACCAAACTGGTACAAAATATACATCAGTTGAACAAATAACCTATTTTAAACACTTTTAACTCATTTATTTTCCAAATAATGTTCGTGTTGCTTAGTCTTTAGTTTTCTATGTTGTGTCTTGTGTACTATTATTTGTCTGTTTGTCTTTTTATTTTTTAGCCATCGCGTTGTCAGTTTAGTTTCAATGTAAGAGTTTGACTGCCCCTCTGGTATCTTTCGCCCCTCTTTTAGATATATTCATGGTTAGAGATAATAAAATTGTGACAAAATTTCTAAACTGACCAATTTCAGCAGAATTTGCTAACTTTTGAAAATAAATGGGCGTACTGTAATATGTAGACTAGAGACAGTTATTCAAGATTGAATACTTTATTTTATTTTGAATCTTAGAATAATCATTTTTGAATTTTTGATTCATATTATTCTTAAATGGTTTCAATTTATTATCAGTGTAGTCAAATATAGTTCCATGGCATTTCATGTCGGTAATCATGCACATAAGGCAGGCTGACAATAATATATTAAATTCTTGTTTTCAAGTTCGTTAAACATTGCAACAAAGGTAGGGTATGAGATATACTATAAAATTGAAGTTATAGTAAATGCAGTGTGATATCTTTAAGGCCATGATTCTGATAAATAAGTATTGTTGTAATAAAAAGCGTTTTTACAAATTTTTCTATTTGAACAATTCTTAGAATGGTATTAATTTGTAAATACATCTGATTCACAAACCACGCCTTATTTGGGGATTGATTGACTTTTGTAAAAAAAATATAAGTGCGTTTTCTATTCTATTCCAGGAAATGCTTTTTTACGAAACTTCATTGTAAAATTGGAATAGTTATAGACAAACAAGAAGTTCCTCAGTCATATTTTAATAGGTTTTTTGCCTTTTGACAGAACTTTGATGATATATGTTAAATTCAACCACTATTTTTTATGATATGGACAATTTAGTGATTGTTTAGTTCGATGTCTCATTGAAGAATACCCCACTTCTCCTTTTCTTTATAGGTATAGATAACAATGATATCATTGCCCTATGCATTCTCTGTAATTTACTAATTTTCGTATAAACATGAATACATTATTGATATATAAATATATATAATATTGTTTTGTAGGATACTTATGTCTCATGACAAAGTTACTTCTTGAAAAGGATATAAATGTCAACGTAAAAGATGTTTTTGGAAAACCTGCTATTTTTATGTTATTCCAACAGATGACAGGGAAATTTATCCTAAAGTCATCATCAACACTGTGTCAAAAACCTATGCTGCACTCAGAAGAAGATATTAAAGATGTAGTTTCTATGCTTGTTAGTCATGGCTTGGACGTTAATTTATTTGACAGTTCTAAAAACTCTGTACTAGATATAATATGCAGCTCAGGTCAGTGCTAATAATGAATGAAAATATTTGTCACTGTTTGTGTTCATTCTATTACAATATAACATTGATAAATTCTTATCAATATCATATGTATGGACTATTCTCTGTCTTTTACGTAATGTTTATCTTGTTCATGGCATTGACGTTTTTATTTGACATATTTTTTGTATGTCAAATTTGTTTCTTCTCCCTTTGTGAAAGGTAGAAAATATCGTCGTTTTGTAACATTTCTGTATTGGTTAAGTGACAAAACATCAGTGTATACAGTACATATCTGTCTTTCGATTTTAAATTTTAAATTCCTAAAACATTTGGTGGTAAATAAAAAGTATAGACGGGAGGAATAAAATATAATGATAAGAACACAGACAACTCAATTAGAAGAAGAATGCAATCAAAATCTTAGCAACGGAAAATCTAAGAGGGTATGCTCACATCGGATACTATTAGTCAACAAGCAGTGGTATCAATCCATTAGAAGGAATAGAAAATAACACTCGATAAATGTGGTGCGTGTGACGCCCTTTTCTGAATTCAACTTTATCAGTACCGGTCAAACCCTACAATTTGGACATTAATAATGTATAAATATTAGGTCAACGATGAAAGGTATGTGATAAAAGGGAGACAAAAGATACAAGAGAAATATTCAAAATAAAATATCGAAAATAAACTGCGATGCCATGACAAAGTAAACAAAAATACACCAAAACATAAACAACAGTATACAAAATATAACATAGAATACTAAAGACTGAGCAACTCGAACCCAACCAAAACAAAGGGATTGATGCCAGTTCTGAACTTCATAATACTGATGTTATGATAACCTGGTACTCTACCAGCAGCGTTTAGACCTAGCGCTAGCAAACTTTGGTGTTTGCAAAGACTTTATATTTTTTCTTAATTACTAGTTAGCAAGATTGGAAGATAACTTTTGGATATCAGTGAACAATTACAAAGATTTACAACTCAAATTAAAAATTACGGAAAAAAATAAATACTAGTATAGAATGCACTATGGAGAAAATAACGTCCCATCAATGTTTTACTTAACATGTCCTACATTTCACGCTTAGTTCTTAATTACATATATGACTAATGTTAATATCAAAATAATAAGATATGGTACCAAAATTCAAATGACGAAGATATAATACATTATAGACCGTACGGTCTTCAACAATGAATTAAACCCAATCCGACAAGTCAGCTATTATTTTAAACATGAAAATTAACAGCTCAAGTATCAAAAGTAAAATTTACGAAAAACAAATATCATATACATGAGCCAACAACAACTAGTTCGATGTGCAAGTTGGTTTATTCCCAAAAAGAATCAAGAACTACAATCACAACCCTAAGGTACAAATGGACCTGAACTTCTCCCATGCAACTTTTGTGTTATGTTACATTTTGGTTTTTATCTTCATTTTTTTCTTTAACTTAACACAAATTTATGAATAAAAGGATATATGAATCTAGTTGCGAATGTTAAATCCCCTTAAATGTTGTCATAATTATTCACATTTGATTTCTTTTACATTTGAATTTAGATGTTCCTTCTATAACAGTTATACAGATTTTAAAACGTTAGACATTAACGTTGGTAACGAAGCAAACTTTCTCATGGTGTATTTTCTCGGACTGTATTTTTTGTTGTTAATAGTTATAAAACCCAGATTAGCCAACAGCGAATTGTTGTCAATATTTTGGACTGTGGTAATAGGTGTGTCAATCGTGTAGCGTTCTTTACATTTGCTGATACGAAACATTTGTTTTTATTAGGAAGGCAACCAAAAGCTGGTATCATACTACTAAATGCAGGAGCAGATCCGACAAGAAGCAATTGCTTTCAGAAAGCAATAACAACAAATAATGCTGTTGAAAACGCAGATTGGGAAGAATTCATTCAATTGCTTCTTCAAAAAGGATGTGATCCAAATGTATTCAATGGTGATACATCGAACCTGATACACGTGACAAAAAAAAGATTGATCGGCATTGTAGAAAAACTTATCAAACATGGAGCAAATGTTAACTTTTGTACCTCCGAGAAAAAGACAGCTTTGCATTATGCGTGTGAACTAAGTAAGTTTTACTACGTACTGACAACGACATTCATTTATATGAAATATACTCGGAAAAGCAGTTAGTATACACCATCGTACAGTACTACATCTGCATAAACAGTTTTTAAAAATGCCTTTGGAAGGTTTTCTTTTTGCTTGATTCTCACAATTTGAATGTAAGATAAGTTTAAGGTTGTATGATTGTCATGTTAACCTTTTTTGAATCCATGTTATTGTTATTGGGTCAAATGCGATATGGTAATTCGTTTTGCTCATTTGCTCAAAATTGAGGATCATCATTTATATATTGAAGATCAGTTGGGATTGCATTTATATTGAATTTGTTATGCGCATTTAAATGCGTTTGTATTTTGCATGAATACCTGTTATTTGCATTGTATTGAGTTTTAAGATGTTTACGGAATATATTGTTATATAATAAACATGCAACAACACGATGGTATATTGCAAACATAATTATATATTTCAAAACGTTTTTAAAACATATATGTAAGTAAGCTTACATTGATAACACTACCGTTATTTATAAATCTAAACACCAATTCAAAGAGTATAATTCAAGTTTTAATATCATATGGTGCACTGATGAGTATGAAATGAAACGTGTCTGAGCATCAATTCATAACAAGAGCCCGACAGTAGGATCGCTTGATATTTTCTCAATTTTAATGTGATCAGCATCGATCTATGATCCTCTACATTTTTGTATATCAATGCTAAGAACTGCATTTTGTCATAGTATTTCTGATATATTTGTAGCGGAAGGATCAGCCCGAGATGATATTGTTAGACTTCTAGTTAAAAGTGGAGCAAAATTGAATATACAAACTTCCTCTGGAGAAAGCCCATTATATATTCTAGTGAATACAATGATCGACGATGTCAAATATAACAAAGCAGAAGGTGATGAATCAAAACGTGTCATTAAAAAAGAAATTGATTTGTCCTCATTTAATCGTCTTGTATGTGGAGGGTCACAATTAAAGGACGTCAAAATCAGCGACAGTACCGACATGGAGACGAGAGACACGTTTCTTTGGGAGTTTCCAATAGGAGATCTGTACGTAACAGCTAACAAATAGTTACCAAATCTCATTAGTAAATCACCCACTGTGTTCAAATAATTTTAGCGCCAAGAGAGTAAACAGAACCCAATATTTTTTACGTTGTTTGTTATGCAATATTATATTACAACTGTAAAAAGGAAATATGCAATGGCAGCGACTTCTGGCGAGTAAAAATAGTTTTCTTTTTCTCAGCTTCTTGTTACTTGGGCAGTATTAAGAAGACTAGCTGTTTACACTATTTACTTGAACACAACACAATATAAATTGAGTCGATTTAGGATATTTACTTCCAATGTTTTAGGGAAATGATAGTGTTCTATTTATCAATCGAATAATTTTTAAACATAATAACCAGCTTTACTAAACAGCTCTTAATATCATGTTTCATCAAACAAGTTTGCATGTTTTAGGCTAAATTATATACTTTCGATGAAAAGCTATATGGTCCTTTTGACAAAATCAACTAAGAAAACTTCAGACGTTTAGATGAAAAATAGTAATTGTTATGTCTTAATAGGAAGAAAATAAAAACACATAGAAAATTCAAGCGAATTGAAGTATACAATTGTTAAAAAAAGAAACAGAAATTAAAACAGACAAAAATAAATGGTGTTGACTGTTCCTGCTTCTCTATGGACCTCTCTTATATTGCCTAGGTATGTTACACTCGAAATTTTAAGATCGAATTCTAGAATATGTCCTATTTCTTATGTGAAATATTGATGGACTGTGAATTCGCATTGCGTTCAATGCATACATACCAGAAAAGGATTGCCTTGTGGATGCACATGCTCCCGTAACTTTTTGAAGCTATGCAATTCTCTTAGTTTGTATTTGTAACCTTGATTTATTTCTTTATGTTCGATTGACTGACGAGATTTGATCCTCTGGGTAAATTATTTTGCCTTTATCAATCGAGGAAAAAGGTGACAAAATGGTGACTTCTAGTGACACAGAAATTCCGTATTGATCAACCAAATTAATAAACTTCAGAAACATTCAAAGAGGTGACTACAACTTTACCCTTTGAAATTCAAGTTCAATTTAAATAAAGCGATGTTTTCTAATCATCCGTTTGTCATACCTTCTATCTTACGTCAGACTATGTCTCAATTATCTGAAATATAACTTGATGAAAATCGATAATAAATCGATAATAACATTGTGCTCTAAATTAAAAAAGATTCACGGGAACATTTAATAATGTTAAAGGATGGATGTTATCTCTAAAATTTACGCAATGTTATTTGGCATGGGTCACTTCATATACAATCACCTGTATATTTTCCCTCTAGCGAAAGTATAAGTAACATTAAATTTGGAATGTTTATACTGCCACGAGCATATAGTTATTGTCGAGTAAAATTGTTTTGATGATAAATCTAGTTTTACGTTCTGAATGTGATATGTTTACACAGGGTAAACATTACCAATAATAGTATATGCTTTATTTGTCCCTCAAATACAAAACTGAGTACATGGCACTCATTTTAATTGTCTATCATCTTTTAGAAGTGCCAACATTTTATTTGTGTATGTCCTCATAATAATAAAGACAATACGGGCGACGGAATAAGTTTCATAATTGATATTTCAGATAAACGAAAGCATTCATGTCGTTAAAATTATAATGGGCATGTAATATACTTACTTTTTTCAGGGACGAAAATGTTACTAAGTCAGCCTTACAGTTATTAATCAAAAATGGATTCTTAAATGCTGCAATGTGTCTTTTAGAAAGTGGATGGGAATTTAAAAGAGAAAAATGGTTTGAAAACCTCGATCTTTCTATTGTAGATTTATCGAATATAAAAATAGAAGGATCTTTTGTAATTTACAAGAGATTAGAAATAGAAAATGCAAAATCAGAATTTCAGACCTTTATCCGGAATACTCAGTTTGAGCTACAATCGTTAGCACAGTGTTGTAGGCGTGTCATTAGAAATAACCTTCTTGAGACATCCAATGGATCGGAGATTGAATCAAAAGTTGAAGTACTTCCTGTGCCTACAAAGATTAAATCATTTCTAACACTTGTGGATAATTGTCATGAATCAGAGATATTTCTGCTCGAAAATATTCTAAGGTATTTGTTTGTTTTCATTTATTACAAGAACTTTTAAATGCATCATCAATGGCCATGTTTATAAACTCCTAGACCGTTTGATGATTTGAACATTGAGCTAGTTCATTCAATGTTTTCAGTTTGGTTTATTCACAACTTAATCATTGTCTAAACTGTATATTACATTTATTTGAAATTGACAAATCAATGCTGCGTTGTTAGGTTGAAATGACAGGCGGCAGTGCATAATCATTTTATATTCAGATTTAAAGGTATTATTTTGCTTAGTCACACATTTAAATTATTCATTAGTCATTAGTAATGCCACATTTCACGGATATGTTTTGCTTTGTTACTTCCTTCTTCATGTCGAAAAAACAAGTAAACATGTATTTGTGTTTTATCATATCAGACCCAAATGCATGTGTCTTTGTTTTAAAATCAAATACCAAAATAATTCATTTATATAGATATAAGAAGATGTGGTATGAGTGTCAATGAGAAAACTTTAACATGTTAAAGGGAATATTCATTAAAAATTGAAATACAATTATCACTATATTAAGGTCAACTATATTGAAAGTTATCCTCGGAAATGTGTACACAAAAATTTTAAGAGCGTCATTAACGAGTTACCTTAACTACAATATTTGCAAATATATAAAAGTTTGCTCCAATAAATAATTTATGTGTCACCCACAGACGATGGCACTCAGGTGATCTTCCCTATTACAGATATGTTAATTTTTTTTTACTTTGTCATAGTATACTGTTCATTAAACGAGATATTGTTTATAACAACACAATTTGAATTACCTATTCGGCCTTTTACTTTTAACTTTTATAAAATAAAAAAACATAATAAAGATCAAACTATATCGGTAATGAAAATTCATCGGTACGTTTAGTTTGCCATACTGCTGTTTTCTGCTCTTTGGTTGAGTTGTGTTTTTTTGGTACATTCCCCTCTTCCATTTTAAATTTTATTTCATGCATAATAAAACATAAATCAACACAGGAAATATCTTGTCCCTATCGAAAATATTTTATACAAACCAGACATCATGATGCATAAAATTGAAATGGTGCGTACGATTTATGTTTCTTGAATAATTTTTATCAGATACACGGTCCAGAAGGCAATTTTACAAAAATGCTTGGGAATATAAAACAAATGAAGAGACTGTATGTAGGTGTACGTGATCAATTTAACTGAATTCACATGTTATATTGAGTCTGTGCAATGAATTTGTCTTCTTAAATCATTTTGTAAGATGACTCTATATTTCTATGTTTTGAAATATTATTTTTAGAGAATTCTTTAATTTCCAGAAAGAATATGTTTCTGAATCTACTGCCCTGTCCTAAATGTCACTAAAAAAAGATGTGTCATATCTAATTTTCAGTTTTAATCATGTTAATCATAATAGTTGAGCATGTTTCACTCTGTACCGGAACCAAATGAGAGTTAGTAATTATTTTTATATTTTTTTCGTTTTTAGACCTCGCAATTGTAACCAATTCCAGCCAACATATTTACATTCATCACTTATAACATCCGATTCTCTTGAAATGGACACAGATGACGAAGGAACATCTTATTTCATGAATGATTATGGCTCAGATGACAACTACGTATACGCACATGATGATGATCTCTCGGACGATGACTTTATGTTTTCACACTGAAATTACAGGACAAAAATGACTTGAATGCATTTTTGTTTAAATTATTTGTATGTGATAACAAATAGAATATTTTTAAACAAGTATTATAAAACAACATACTTGAAATTATAAAGACTTGATTCTGTCAGTTCCCCGGTTTTTATTTTTGCATTTTATAAATTTTGCTTTACACTTTTGTCCAAGGGCTTCAAATTTCTGATATTTCATGTCAAACACACAAATTTTTAATAATGTCAAATTTTGGTCTCACCTACAATGCATTTTGCATTAGACGAGATACATGTAATGTAATCTGGAGTGGTGTAAACCTTATGTACCAATCGTGATATTGCAGATTTCAAAAGAGGTAGATACATGTACTCAATATCAGCTGTACAGGTATGTCTCACAAACGTCTGAAGTGGTTATATGGGTTATAGCTTTTGTCTTAACACCATATCCATGGTTCAATCTATTTAGTTTAATAAGTCAGTTACTATGAGCAAATTAACAACTACATTTAGAAATTATTTGCAAGGCTATTACAATGTATGTCCATCACATAGAGTTCAACTGACATGGCACCATATCATAATTCATAGTTCCGTAACTAATTTAAAAGGTAGTTTAACTTGATTACGCCCGGTTCTTACTTACTGTTAATCATTAGTCAAATACGTTTGGTGTTTCGATGATTTTAATGTGCACATGTTTGTTTGACAAGGGTAATCTGACTTCGATCTGATATTCATTGTTAATTGGTAAATGTTATGTGTTTTTGGAGAAGTTTTTTTTTAGATACTGTAAGTAATTGGGCATCTTCATTGGTGTATATACAGTTGTTAGGTGTAAACGTCGTTATTAACGTGGTTGAATCTCTTGGCGGGTGCGAAGTATTGTCTTAATTCATATGTAATTTGGATAATCAATGTTCAGATATATATGTTTATATTCTTTCAATTTCAATGTTTACAACCAACACTTATCCAAAACAGTAACGCAAACAAGACATTTCAGTATGATAAGTTTGTATAAGTTCTTGTCATTAATTTAAGATAGGGGCTTTTGCATTAACAAATGAGATTTGACGAATGGTTTAAATTCAATATGACTACATAACATTACTGTATTGTCTTTTCTCTGTTCTGTGTGTACACATTTTAAACTAATGGTAACATTATAATGTTCAAACTTTATTGAAGTTTATGTACTCGTATGATATTCTTCTTATCGTATCTTTCCTAAACTCGTAAATGAAAATAACGCTTGCGAAATATTTAGGTCTTTCCACCTTTCCGTGATTTTGTTCTAGTTATTATGAATATTATCAATTGTTTTTATTAAGCAGGATGTCGCTTAGATATTAAGTTTATGATATCGAACAGTTTATAATCTTTCAAAATTGACACTGTTTAACCGAACACTTTTCCTATAAAAGTTATTTCCCCAAAACTGTTGCTTTCCTGCTCCTTCGCATTCGTTTAAGAAATCGACAAAATCATTTGACAAAATTGCTCATTACATCCTCAAATTGTCAACACAAGTTTGACTGACGAGATTCGGAGTTATTCCTACTATTTGATATAGGTGAAATGTAATAGTAGCTCATAAAACATAAGAGACACGGACCAAGGTTCTTTTGATTTGAGTTCATGGGTCCTCAAAAATGAAAATGAGACCAAATTTAAAGATCAAGGTCATATTCTTAATTTTGATTTTAGTCTGGATTTTCCTCAGAAACCGTATAAGATATCGACACAATATATTACTCAATTGTTAGTTGCAGCATGTCGTTACATATACATTTTGCTTGAAAGGTACGTTGACATTTAATAGGAGTTGATACCCTCTAAGTCTTAAATCTAAAATTAGCTGTATAAAGCATCAACCATATATAGAAAAGACCTAGGCTATTTTGATTTGAGGTCCTTTATTGATGACCTTGAAATGTAGATGATACTGGAAGTGATATTTTTTAAACCGGATATTGCAATTTATCTTCCTTATTTCAGGCAAAATTATATAAAACTTTATATTTGTGGAATCAGTGTAACGACTAAAGCTATCATATGAGATTGAAAGTAACAATTCAATTTGCTACAATACCCGATTAGTTTGACGTTTTATTTCCATTTTCAAAAGACAGTTTTGCCTTTACTACAATTGTTATGGTGTTCAAGCGATATACAAAGCTCCACTTTAGCTAGATATAAAATCAGGTGTAACCTACTATTTTTTCTTCTTAGTACCAAGTCAGGAATATGACAATTAATTTCCAATCGTTCCGCTGGTTATTTACGTTACATTTTGTAAATTTTTTTTATGGACTTCATTTTTTCAATTTAACTGTGAATTGTTATTTTCTATCTAATGTTTTTCCTTCATAATTAAGGTCACAATTGGTTACTTGGTTGGAGTTTCTTTTAATAAAATTGCAATTGTTATTTGACATTAATTGTTAATTATTGATTAATACTGTTTGTTTTTTAGTTAGTCGTTTACTATCTTATAACTTTGTCAATTATATCAGCATCTGTTTGTATGTGTGTATTTGTAAAAATAATATGGCAATTTTGCTGATTAGTGTTAGACATTCTGAATAAATTAGATTACTGATTGCTCGTTTTTTTCCTTATTTTCGTATGTTATTTGATATCGGTAATCATCGAATGTCGATTTGATCAAGTTCCTAATACAGATAAATGAGCATTATTAAGTCGCGGATTTCGTTACCATAATTGGATAAAAACTTTATTAAACTCTAACAAAGATACAAAGATGTTGGTTTGCAAGTTTGACGCAACCTGTAAAAACTCATTTCATACTGAAAAGCACATCCTTGTTTACTACAAATGATTTCTTGGAGTATTAATTTTATTGGAATATATATTAATATTAATTTTGTCATCAGTAAATTAAAACCAATTGTTATTATTGTTATATACATATTGCACTTTCATCGATCTACAATCTGTCGTTACTTGTATCTTGGCATTGCACAAGGTCTTGTTTTCCGCAGACTGTTTATGACGTCTTTACAATAACTCCATTGGATGTTGGATGTGTACTGATTAGTTATATATATATAGATGCTTGATTTCTTTTATTAGTTGTTATTGGCTTTGAACTAGCTGTCAGTAACTGTGTTCAATCATGAGAACTCTCAGATATGTACTTAGTGTCTTTTTGTTGTTGGAATGTACAAGTATCCGGTTATGTCCACTCAGATTTTGTTACATGTATTTCTGTTTGTATCCATGTGATGAGTTTTTCAAGTACATTTAATATCTGTTTTTATACCCCGGGCAGTGAGTCGAGAACATGAGATTTGATAGTTCGGTGTTATGTTGTAGTGTTACACCACTGTCCCAGGTTGAAGTAGGGTAAGGATCCTTCTTACATGTTTAACCCCGTCAATTCTGTACCGAGTCAGGAACCTGTAATTCAGTGGTTGTCGTTGTCGCTGTGTTACATATTTGTTTTTAGTTCATTTTTCTGAACATGAACTAGGCCGTTGGTTTTCTCGTTTGAAATGTTTTGCAGTTATCATTTCGGGGCCTTTTATAGCTGACTATGCGGTTTGGGCTTTGCTCATTGTTGATGGCTGTACGATGTCCCTATAGTTGTTGATTTCTGATTCAGTTTGTCTCTTGTGAAAAGTTGTCTCATTGACTATCATACCACATGTTATTTTTATATTTGTTCAAGATGAACAAAGTTTAGTCCTTGCAAATATCTGATCCAACTTTTGCTTGTCATCAAACTTGTTAAATATAATAGCGCAACACATTGGCATACATATTTTTTAATTGCATGTTTGTTTTTCAATTGAGAACGAGAAATGCGAAAAAAACTATATGCCGATGGGATTACTGTAGAGTTGATGGTATATTGTAATGTAGGAGGAATTAATACACGCAACAAGCATGGTCGGTGATAGAGAATTAAATATACTTTTCCATTCTCAATTTTATTTGGTTTATAAATTATAAACATTTCATTTTTAACATGATGATTCCGGAAAAAAATTCAATAATAAATCATAGGATATTTGGCACACCAACTAAAAGAAAGGAAATTTCTATGAACACTAACTCATCATATATTGAGCTGTATAGGTGGAAGATTAGATTGCGTTTTATCACAGCCCATATCTTCCATCGGGCCTGTTATGTGTTACCATCAGCACATGCCCATTTTTTATCCCTTAGTTAGTATTTAATAATCGTTTCAATTGCACCATAACATTGTCGCATTTGTCTTTGTTAAAGAATAGTAAACTGTTGTTTTTATTTCTTGTATATCAACCTTTAAAGGAATAAATCAGACAGAATAGAAATACTTTATGACAAAGTGTGATAATAGACATCAAAAGAAGAAAAGTTTTATTAGTTGATTTTAGATAAAGTGTAAGACACGAGTATTCTCAGCTGCGATATTCAATATGTGATGGATGATAAATTATGGTTTAATTTTCCTTTTGAGACTGAAGCTTACAATATATACATTTACATGTGAGCCGAAGATTAGCAAGAAGTGACAACAAATAATTTTTAATCAGCTTTTATTGATAAATTGATATACAATCTGCTACTATTAAGTGTTAAACTTGGTTGAGCTTGTTGTAGTTGAATAACATTTGGCAAGTCATATCCACTTATACAAAAAAATTCATTCGAAATGTTAGGCAAATATATTCATAATTTTTTTTTTTTAAATCTCTAAATATATATACTAATGAGAAATTTGACCAATAACAATAAGCAACATGCATTTGAATGGACGCTAGTTAACATGACTGTTCAGATGTCTTTACATGCTTAAAACAGTTGACTACAAGGATTTTACATTACTGGCCTTGAATCATGGAAGAAAACACATATGTAGAGGGACGCATAGGGACCACACTTTTTAATAAAATATCTTGCTAGGAAATGGTCAATAAATCAAATACAGGTAGATGCTTTAATCTTAACGGTTGTTTAAATAAGTCTTTATTTCGTCCCCGCGGGTATCGGCAAATAATTATGAACATAGTTAATTTCTGTGTTAACATACGTTATCAATTAATAGCGTACATACATTTTCTTTTCATTTAAAATGTGCAATAAACGGAAAACCATTGGTTCTTTTTCATTGCATTTGATTATAGGTAATCTAAGTTGGAATGGTCAAAACCTTTCTGAAGTTTTGGTTCTCAGCACTCTTCAACTCCGTACGTTTATTATGCCTTTATAACTACTTTCATTTGAGACACTGATGATTGTTTTAAGACTAAACGCGTTTGGCGGATAACCTTTTAATCCTGGTATCTATAAGAAAATTATTTGCCGTTTTTAGGGGGGAATTTATGGTTTACAGTGCCATGATTTGACTTGACTAATATGAATACTTTTATATAGAAAATACGTGCGTTTGATGTACAACATTAAAAGCATGGCAAATTTAAGTTTTTATTTTCTTTAAATATTCAACAAATAGAGAAATATCGGTTTATATATTGCATCTGATCTTGATAGCGGAAATATATATAAATAGGTAAAATGAAGCAATATTTAAAGGGTACAACTTATGAAACGGTTTATCTAAAAACCAACAACTAACCTGCAGAAACAAATTAAATAGCCTTTAGTAAATTTGTATATAGGATTTCGATAAACTTGTTCCATATAAATTTGATAAAATTGTGTTTTATTATGCTGGAACACATTCTGCATTCGGATGCGTTGGTGTCAAAGTCAAACCGAAATTTATTTATTTTCTTTACAACATTTATTTTTGCTATGTAATATACAATAAGGTGTCACTAAAGTGAAAACAATGAGACTGCAGACTATTATCAGGGACTTGTGATATAAAATGGTCTAGAGTTAGTTTCTTGAGTGACATGTTTACGAAGATAAGAAGGCGCATGGCCGATCTCGCGTTTGATAATGTCATTTACAAGTAATGAACATCGAGAAACTTTGTAGAGACGATTATTGGTTGAATATTAGTTGCTTAACGTCCAGTGAAAAATATTTCATGCATATTTAGGAGGACTGTTCACACAGTGTGAAAAATGTGTATTTGACAACTTGAATATAAGGTGTCAAAGACCCTGTATTGCGGTTTTGTAAATAGCACTTAAAATAAAAAAGTAGTTCTGGATATATAAATTCATTAACACCTTTGTTCGTATAGTGGACAGAGAAAGTCCGTCTGTGATGGGAAGTTGCTATAAAGTGATCATTCTGAACATCACAGTTATGCATAAAAGTTACATATACAAGGAAAATCACATTATATGTTAGAAATTAATTTATAATAAAAAAAAAATATTAAATAGAAAGTATAAAAACATTAGCATACATCTCAATGATTTTGAAAGTTTTGGTGTAAGCACATAGCAGTAGAAGCCAGTTCATTCGACAGTTGACAATAATCATTTGATACACAAACAAATTGGACATGAAAAACAATACTTTTCATATTAATAGTGAACTTAAAAACATGATAAAATCCATTCTACGGACTATTAACTACAGTTACACGAAACAAACATCTGTATTTGGCAAAAACGTTTTATATCATGTGCTACAGGGACTCAGTGTTAATTTAGTAGTATGCTTGAACTATTTGGAAATCACTAAAAATTCCTTGTTAATAATTGTAAAAGTAGGAACACTGATTGGCATTGAAGATGGTGTTGTTTTTGGCTTTCAAAAAGATGTATTGTTAATTAAATAACACGACTGTTAAGTATTTGATTCAACAGGGTAACCGGAATCATAATTTTTTTTTCGAACAAATGAAATCAATGAATTGAAAAACATCTTACCATACAAGTAAAGAGGAAAAAAATTGTACCATTTTAAAATGACTTTAATTCCAGTAAAGCGGTAACATTCTATCTTTATCAGTGATAAAAAGTATATTCGAACAAAATCAATATGCGTCTTGTTATATTGTTCCAATGAATATAAGATATTCGCCTGTCTTGAAGATTTCTTAAAGGAGCATAGCTCTTTGCGAACCGCAGCAAGAGTGAGTACACTAGACGGTATATAAAAACAGTTCAGTCATGAGAATGGATCCTTAAAAATAATATAAATGATAAATAAATACATATGTGAAGCGTTCTTTGTTGTGTATGCACAATACAGTGTAATATCATTGTAACCAGAAATATACCATTCTGGAGTCTATTAACTTCTCAGGGAATCAGAAATTTGCATACACGTTTGTTGACTCCAAATAAAAGTTCAAAGCCTCATAACACAGACGATACTCATCCTGCGAATATACAAATGTCCAAATAAACTTTATCCTTTGCATATAATATAATACATTTTGTATATCTCCAACACCAGAACATATCAGAAGAATTATCAAAACGTCGTACAAACTTTTCTCAGGTTACGAATATCGAAATAAAACTGTCTTTAATTAAACTTTTAATTTTTGGTTTAACACTGAATAAAATAAAAATAATGCAGAAGATAACTCCAGGACACATACGAATCATAATTTGAAGACATACTCACAACACAACGGTCGTAAAGAAAACAAAAGACGAAAAGACAACACTTTACAAAACACTTCACAGCAAACCAAGGAATGAAGGACTGAGCAACACGAACCAATTCAGAAACTTTTCATTTTATGCATAAATGTTTCTCAAAATTATTTGTTTTAAACCAACATAATTAAGAACATTCTTAATAAAGCCAAAACTGTTTTAACTCTGCAACTTCGTACTTTACTTCGCCTTTTTAACATTTTTTGATTTGAGCGTCACTTATGGGTCTTTTGTAGACGAAACCGGCGTCTGGCGCAAATACAATATTTTAATCATGGTATCTATGATGAGTTTATTATTAGATTTTTGTAACACATGTAGCTTAAAAAGTCAATTCATTTGTGTCAAATATATTAAGCCAAGTTTAATTCTACAAGAACGAGGTTTTGATATTCGAAGGTAGTTTCGTCATTTATTTTTAAGTATTTAAGCGATTTTAGTTATTGAAATATAAAGTTGCTTTATGGATGCCATAGTTGTTGTCAAAAATTGTTTTGTTATTAATTGGGCCATCAGTTTTCTCGATTGAATTGCTTCACATTTTATATAGCCGACTTTTACGTTATGTGGTTTCCTCGTTGTTGAAGGCCTTACGGTGGCCTATACTGCTTACTACTAATTCATTTTAGGTATATTTTATAGTTTTCTCATTGGCAATCATAACACATCTCCTCATTAAAGATAAAGTACATTTTCAATGCGTGCACTTATCATGTATGGTTGTTAATACAAGATTTGAGTTTTATTTTTAACTTACAAAATCAGCAAAAAACTCTGGTCTCCTCAACTGTAGTAGCCTAGCCAGCTGGAATATGTCAGCGCTATCATCTATTGTCATACTTGAGACAGCGTTTGCAAACGTACAAAACAGTCCGCAGTTTTTAGCACCATCACTATTACAAATAGATTATAAAAAGTAAAGCAGGAAAACTATGTTAAATAGTGTCCAAGATGTTTATTCATTAAGTTAACAATAATAACAATGTTACAGGGATAGAGGAAGAGTGGGAATTTTTCAATTTGCCACTTATAATAGCTCATACGTAATAAAAAATTAATATCGCCATTTATAAAAAAACAACCAAACGAAAACGACGAAAAACGAACAAAACCATTACACTAAAAAAAATAATTTTAACTAACACGAACACAGATCGGGTTAAACTCATGTAAGTTCGAAAACAAACTGATATGCGTATTGCAAAAAAAAACATAAAAACTTGGATAATTCAAATCTAATAGAAGGTATGTAAACATATCTTAATAATGACAACTATTTAACTTTAATTCAGTATAGTAGTTCTTAAACTATTCATATAAATTGTATTTCATTCGTATTGCATTGATTGTTTAAATGTCTAACACCTCTTTTAACTGCATTGATTGTTTTATGTTAAGCGCCTAGAATAATTTTAATTAGATAATGCGCTATATAAATATTGTAAATAATAATAAAATATTGTAAATAATAATAGTAATATCTTCACACGTTTCATTCATACCCGCTGACAACAGTCACTGCATCATGTGACATACTGACACGTGTTGATATCATATTGACCAGTTTACATAAAACACCTGGCTTAGGATAGCCACTACAAACAGCACAGTATATTACAACCTCCCTTGCCTTTTCATCCTGAAATGACAAAATGATAATGATTTCACTTTCTTTGGTGTTCTTCATGTATCTACTTACTTTCGACGGAAATAAAAAAATACGGGCATGTAAAACGTGACCAACCATAAAACAATGGGAAAAGCCATTCTTCTGTCTAGTAAGTAGTTTATGATCCGTTTCGAACATCAGCCGTATTGCAAGTAAATATGAATTGTTAATGCCAATCGTGGAAACGATTAGAGACACAATCCGTGAACTATATATGTGGCTATTTATGTGTGGTATAGATTAAAACAACTCATAGCATCTATTTTATCACTGCAACAGATGCGCATTTCACCAATAAATTTATCTTCAAAGATGCTAGTAGCCAAAATAATTGAAAACCTAACCTTATTAAGAATCATTTAGAATATATAAACCAATATACAACAAAAGCATAGAAAGCAGAACAGGGAATCAGAGTTTAAATAACTTACATGAGGGATATTTTTTTTAAATAATTTCCACAATTTTGCAACAGCTCTTGGCTGTGGAGATACCCTCGGAGAATGGAAATGGAGAATGTGTCAAAGACAAACCCGACCAAAGAGCAGAAAACAGTTCAAAGCCGCCAACGGGTCTTCACCACAGGGAGAAATATATATCGCAACAGGCTTCAGCTACCCCCTAAACAAAAATGTGTCCTAGTTGAGGGAAAATTAGCGTCAGACTAAACTCCAAAACATATAAATAAAGGAAAATAAAAAAAACAAACATATAAGACAATCAAAGGACAAAGGCTTGAGAAAGGGGCAAAAATGCGGACGGGCTAAAAATGTTTTGTGAGATCTCAACCTTTCCCCTATACATCTTGACAATGTAGAATAAACAAACAAACAGCAATATGCACAGTGAAACTTGGTTAGATAGAAGCCCGAGTCCGGTGTCAGAACAGGTTGACAGGTTGACAGAAAAAAACTATGCAAAATGACAATGATACATAAATTAACAAAAGAATACTTGCAGTTATATGACATACCAGCTTCAGACCTCAGTAAACCTGATTGAAAGATCATGTCTTCATCATATAAAAATCTTCGCTTGGGATTTAGTATCATATCATCATAAAATATATGAGAAGAATAGAAGCCGTAGCATGGTCTCTACTGGTTTTAGAATAAATGTGTTATTTTCGAATTAAAGACCCTATAACCATATCCCTTCTGAATAAGTCTGCAGTTTGAATGTTTGGTTAGTTTTTTTTAGGTGAATGACGACATTCATGTGCTTTGTATAGAATATACTCATTAAAGATTGGATGTGAAATACCTGAACGTATAAGATGTCTGCCCGAAAATGGAGTCAGTTGTTAATATGGTAAATTCTTGATTTCCTTTAACATAACCTCCATGTAAAATTCATGTCAAGCAATAATGATATTATTTGCAGCCTTATCAGCAGGGACAAAAACAGATTCCTTAGCGTGTTCTTTTAGTTTATGTTTGATACGAGAAATACGGCTACTATGATTGTTTTAGAAGTAAAATATAATAGTCCACCACGAAAAGGTATCGACCTTGAAGTAATAATACAATTAACGGTACCAATATGTATTTCCGTCAATCAAATCATGATGGCGTCTGTTAACCTAACGTAGGTATAACTTCAACTGTACAATTTGGAACATTTCATGCCAAAATCGCATTTTAGAGAGTACAATGTAACTCTTTATCGAAGAAGTCATAATTCGAATAGTCAGTCTGAGTAGTTAGCTTTATGTATTTGAAGTGGTTGACGCTAATATCTTTGTAAAATGAACGGATATCTCGTGTTGAAAAATTTGACATGAATAACGTTACCTTTCTTGACATAACTACTGTACACGATAATATATTGAATTCCTCCTTTTCTCGTCTCGTTATCTTCATGGTGAAAGAACCACAAGAAAATGTGTCGTCTGTGGTTGCATATACTAACTCAGCCTATGTATAGAATAAAAATGAATCGTAAATTATATGTTGAATGTTATGAACTTACTGTCGTTTGTCTTATGTCATTTACAATGATATTATCCATTTCTATCCATATTTAGAACAACAAAAACATTAATGGATACATTGGGTAAGTTGTTCCCCGAATTAGGTTTTTATGTGTATAATATAAATGAAATTAAATGTAAACGGATGAGCTTGAATGAGACAATTGTATTTTAAAATTATTATTCCATAGCTCAGTGCACTTTTGTTTTTAAAGATACCATTTACACTACCTCCGTTTGTTCGTTTATAAATATGACTATAGTAGATGAGCAATGGTCCCTGACCATTGTCCAAAAGTCGATTTTAGTCTCAGGCAATGGAAGCTGTGTCGTCAGATATCCCACAAATTTTGTGTATGACTGAAATAGAATAATTCTTAAAAATTAAAAGGATACACACAACATTAAGACTATTGAACTATCACATCCGATGGGATAGTTTCTCTCAATTGTTAACATTAAATATTTGATATGAATATCTTGAGTCGATGCATATAATCAGTATACCAAATCAACGGAGTTGCACAATTAAAGCCATATGAAACAATCTTTCTTGACATTATAATGTTATGGAAATTATTGAACCAATGCATGTACAGTCAAAACTGTATTAAGAGACCACCCAAGGGAGAAGGCAATGTGGTCTCTTAATACAGGTGGTCTTTGAATACAGGTTCCCCGATTTGAATAGAAGGAATCATTGATGTGCATTATGAACGTACTAGTGTAAGTAAACAATACTGTATTGGTCTCGTGTGTATACGTGTATCTGCTATGACTAATTATGAGAATTGTTCTTAAATTATTTCCTTACCTTCTTGTATTTTCTTTTAATTTGTTCATACTTCACAAGACAGGGTTTTTGTTATTTTATGTCCAATCTAATTCCTACGAAAATACCCAAAGGGTGCAGAGCCCTCAAATATGTTCTTCAAGATTTTATATAAAAAGTCTCATTATGCAAGGACTTTCAAATACGTTTTATTCAATTCCTTATAGTTCACTAGTGTTAGCTTTGTCTTTCTGTTTTATATTATTTATCCATAACGTAAAGCTTCTTTTTCTGCGTTGTTTTTTTTTTCTTCTTCCAGATTATAATTTGTTTACTTTTTTGTCTGTTCCTTTTTATTGTGTTTTTGTATTTTATGAAGTTTTGGAATAATTATCCAAATTCAAAAATTTAACTTGTGAGAGGGAAGATTTGAAGTTGCGTTGTTATCTGTCACTCATAGATTTTTTGAAGAAAGGTAATTATAGAAACATCAAATCATTTTAACATACATTTAGTTTGTACCAACAATTATCATTCTATTGTAAAAAGATTGTGGAATCTGTTAAATTTATTCTATGATAAAGCATAAATAAAACTAAAAACTGTCATAAGAAGGTGCTGCTATATTGCTAGAATTGTGAATAAGATTGTTAAAAACCTTCAATGTCAATGGACACAATTTTCATTTTAGTTTTCTTTTCAAATTTTATAACAACGCTGATGTCAATGACATTGATTGAAGGATGTACTTAGGTGAGGTTTAGGAATAAGTGTCATATCTTCGGACTCCTCTATTATTTTTGTTGATATAGTGTAAACAATTTTGCCCCATAACATCCATTTTTCTTTTCATATAAGACTTCATTAGCTCCAAAAAGGTCATTTACCAAAAATTAAGCAGATTTAGATTTCTTTTCTTTCGGTAAAGACCCAAATGATATCAATGCAAATATAAGGTATTAGTCTGAGTCAGCCTTTTCCCGCCATTTAAAAACAAATAAATGTCTCGAAAAGGAGCTCTAAAACCTATCAATATTTTAAGCTTCTTTTGTTCCTTAATTAATGCTCTTCCTATTTATAACATCGACGTTGAATTCTAGATGATTTTAATATCACCTAAGTACATCCTTTACACATAATATATAGACATGTTTTGCACTACCCCTCCGCCATATAAGAATTACTGATATTACAATTAAAAAAATTATCAATAACTCTTAAAAATGAATATTCAATGTGACGTGATATCAGCAACAAAGTTTCACATGAATTGTTTCACAGTATTTACGACGCGTATGTTGCTACGTGTATTTACTTAATAATAGTACGTCCCTTTTCTAACCCAATCCACTTTTTTTTAAATGCCATTCTTTCATGTGTTAATTAGAATCATATTCTACATCTATTTACTTACGTGTTACAACGTTAAACGTAAATTTGAGCGCAACTTGCTTGTTCAGTATAATGCATATATTACAGTTTGTCATTATACAAACTCCATTCATTACAATCAAACTTCAAGAAAAAGAAAAAAAAAATATATTTCAAAATTTGGACTATTCATTTTGATCTATTCATACCGGAGCTTGAATAGCATTGATATAATCAGTTCTTCCTTTTTCATATGATGTTAGAAACAGTCTGTTGTTGTCCGCTGTCAAAGTAAAAAAAGAATAATCATAAAGTGTTATATGTGTTACATATAATATTTCATATACATGATATACTATTTTTGAGAATAACATTACATTATAAACCTGGTCAATAAATGTATAATTTTTTTTCAAAATGATTATTTATTTTGTTCGATAAAAGATCAGAAAAAGATCATTTTTAAAAGAAGATTTGTATTGGAAAAAGAAAACTTTTAAAATATGTTAACGAAATATTATTTAAACATAGTGTTTGATGAAAATCAAGCATAATTTATTGAAATCAAGTTTCTTTTGGATGTTCAATGAAGACAAAATTGAAGTTATAACGTTTTGAAAAATAATTATCAGATTTTCAATATTATTAATATATTTTAATATTTACGACATTCCTAATAAGTGGTATTGCCTATACCATGGGCATAGTTTGTATATTAATGGTGAATTTTATCATTTTTAAAAGTCTAAAAAAGGGTATTTGCACCATGCAATTGGAGAATAAACTTCTAGTAGCACCCCTATTTAAACGAATCAAATAAATATTTTTGATGAAAAGTAAAATTAATGAGTCTGAACTTAGTGTAATCAAATTAAAATACTATAAAACAAAACCAGTGTGCACATTTAAATGAATTTTGTAGTGGCTTATAAACACAAAACATCTGGAAACTACAGTACAAAATGCATTAAACTAAAAACGGTCAAAACAGATCCTTAAAACCCGTCTAAATTAGACCGCAGTACCTTGCTTTTATTTTTATTCATACACAGACTGAATTGATAACTTTAGCATGATTATTTGAGTTTACAATTACATAAAGCAGACCAATATTGAAGTAATGGGCGGACTGTACTGCCAGACCACCACCAAAAACATATGCTATAGATGTCTCACATTTAAGACGTTTTTTATGAAAAGCTTAAATCTGTTTCTGGTGAGATATGATGGGTGATTTATATGTTAAAATCTATTTTCTATTCAAAATGAAAAAAAAAACAAAAATAGTAACGGAGTTCCTCGAAAACCCTAGAGTTAGCTTGACGCATTTTTATATGATTGATCATTTTCGGGACATTTTGTACAAGTGAGAGGTTTAGCGCTATAAAACCAGGTTCAATCCACCATTTTATACATTTGAAAATGTCTGTACCAAGTCAGGAATATAACAGTTGTTGTCCATTCGTTTGATGTGTTTTGTCATTTGATTTTGCCATGTGATTAGGGACTTTCCGATTAAATTTTCCTCGGAGTTCAGTATTTTTGTGATTTTACTTTTTTTTTTGTACTGAATCAGTGATCGTCTCTTTTTATATCTAACAGGTTTTGTTTAAAATTGTATGTTGCATATTATGGTTAGTTGAGAAACTTCATTGAGCTGTAATAAAACATATACATTTGTACATTGATATGACGGAATATGCATCATACGATTTGACGACCTTCAAAGTAGAAAGTTCATAAAATATTCTATCGAACGTTATATGCAGGGTACAATGTTGATGGATGCATTATTCACTCTAGTATTGATGCGTTTCAAGTGAACTGTTTTTCGCTGTCATGAGTAACTTACATGGAATGACTGATTTGTTTCTGTTTTTCTGTATATTTTCTGTACTAAGGGCAGATGTAAACTCGGACTTTCCATGCTCGGATTTCTTAGTTTCTAGCATCTACAATATGCAAACGGTACAATTATCACAACGCATTTTCAGTTATTCCTATCTGTATTTTTACCATTATTTAGGAATAATTCATATTCTACGTATATATATATCATGAAGCGAAAATAAACTGACAACGCCATGGCTAAAAAAGAAAAAAACAAACACTAATTCTCAAAACACAACATAGAAAACTAAAGACTAAATAAAGGCAACAGTAGTATTCCGGTGTTTGAAAGTGATAAACAGATTGAGAGAAAACATGAACCTTACCAAAATATGGGGGTGATCTCTAGTGCTCCGGAAAGGTAAACAGATCCTGCTTCACATGTGGCACCCGTCGTGTTGCTCATGTTAATACAAACCCGGTAACAAGTTAAATTCGGTAGGTCACATTCGTGAAAAGGGGACGGGATTGTAGTTACGACATAAGGAATATATCAGCTATCATCTGTGAAATGGATATTCCATAACAATCAACCAACTAGTGATGGAGTCCGTAAAATTTACGATGGTTTAATTTCAACTTCTCCATTTTTAACTCTTGGTTTAATAGCTTTCTTGTGAGCAGCAAGAATTATATAAAAAGTCTTTTCAATGCTAAACATATTGCTTTGTAAATCATGTCTTGTAATAAAAAGTTAAATTCAAGTGCGCATAGTGCAAACAATCTACATGATTCTACATTATTACGAATAACCTACAAGATATTTGCCATTTCTAACATCTTTAAGAGCCAATCTGCCAGAAAACCATGCAAAACCGTCCGAATGTCACTTTTTCCAAATGAGTTCATATTTGGCATATTGGTGCACCTTAGTAATGTTAATAAGCACACAAATTTTTTTGGGAAAATATTGAACCGATCTGGATATTTTTTGAGCGCCATGTTTTAACAGATGAAATTGCTCGAAAACAGCAAAAATAAGCCTTTTTTGGCATATTTCGCTGGTTTAAATAAAAAAATATGGTAACATTTATAATTTTTTGATAGTTGTTCCTAGTAATACATCACTTTAAGTGTAAGAATGCATAGAATTAACAATGCTGTCTATTAAGTGTATGTATAATCTAACTGTTTCAATATGTCTTATTTAGCTACATGTCCAAAATGGCTGATTTTGGTCATCTTTCAGAGCCAAAATACTCCAAGACCCGTTTATTATTGTAAAACAACATAGCTACTTGCAAAGTATAACTATATATACCCAATCAAAAAAAATATCAAGCTCGGCAAATAATGTTGGTGTCTGGTATATGCCACAACAAAATGGGGTAACCTGCATATTCAAATTTTCTCAATTTTGCCGTCTAATTTGTAACTACTGACAAACGATAGGATCTGGACTTATAAATAAGTATAACAACAAATGGAAAAGAATAATTAATGTTTCATTTAATACATTAAGAAAATAATCATACATAAATACAAATTATTCATTATAAATCTAGAGGCTCCCAGGAGCCGAAATAGATCGTATTGACAAATTGTGCACCTAAAATGATAAAAAACACATATTTCAAACGCAATCAATTTAAATTAGAAGTTAAACAATTCAGAATAAGTTCAGACTGTAAAAAAAAAGTTTCTTCTGACCACTTTTGCAATTTATTCTTATAATATATTGATATAGTTGTCGGATAGTAGCAGAAAACTGTGAAAATTTGTAAATTTACACATTTCAGGGACAATAGCTCATAGATGTTATGTCCAATTTTTCAGAAAAATTTTGGGTATTTAGATCTTGTCATGTTGATAGTTTTTATCAATATATATATATATATATTGAAAAGTTTTTAAATTTTGTATACATATATATATGTATGACACTTCTTCTAAAGTTATTAAGATGATGGTTTAAAAGTGAAAACTGTAAACAGATGATTTTAACAGACACTTAGTGATGGACATTTTTTTATGACCCTTTGAGCCTAGTATGCTAACAAGGCAAGATTTGCCAGGTACCTATATCTATGTTGCTGCAATGTGGTCAATACAAACATGAAAATCATAAATGCTTCTAAAAAATAATCCCATAACTAGACGAAAAACAAATTACTTAGTCTATATATACCAGTGCAAAATTTATAAAGAATTTTGAATGAAATTGGATAGCTGTTAAGATTACTGTACCTATAATGCTCTACATCACATCCTCGGAGATAACAGAATTAAAATAAGTCATATGAGTCTTCAAATTTCAATAAAGTTGAATGTGTTTTTTTATACTTGAACGGCTATAGGTTTTACTATAAAACAAGTGTACATTAACTTTCTTGTAAAAGAAAAACCATAACATTAAAATCTCCATAAATGATGAACTGTTATTTTTTGAGACATCATCCCATGGAAGATTTAACTGATGTTTTAAATTTGGAAAGTTTCTGTTGCTTGTTTGGTTGGTTGAAATTGTTTCTGTTAGAAGCATTATCAGTCTCCCAATCTGATGTTGACTGCTGTGAAAGTTCAGTTGTTGTTGACACTGACAGAAAGGTTAGCTGCGAGGCTAGATCTGAAAACCACAAAACATACATACATAAATCAGGCTGTTAGTTTTCATATTTTTTCATTTTCTTATTTTGGGGCCTTTTATGGCAGAATATATATGCAGTATAGGTCTTGCTCATTGTTGAAGGCCATATGGCGTATGAAGACCTATAGCTTTACTTCTATGTCATTTGTTCTCATTGGCAATCATACCACATTTTTTTTTTAATTTCATATATACCACTGACAGGAAATAAAATTGACAACTTTTACTGTAAGTAGATGCAGTTACAAAATTCTCCCAACTAAAGCCAAATCATTTTTGCAGAATAGTTATTATCCACTCCTTTTAAGCATGTCCAAATAGCCCTTAACATCTTTACAACAATAAAAATTGCCTCCATTTGGTTTGGCATGTCAAATTACCTCTCAATATAATTTTACATTGAAAACAGACAACGGTGATAATTTGACCGCTTTTAGTGACAATCTTTGAAATGGTGGCCATATTTATATCTGTTCTCTGTGTCAAAGTACAGCTAAATATCAATATTCTTTAAAATCAAACTCAACAAAATTGAAAATTTTACCCTTTATTTGCTGTGTCCATCTTTAAAAAAAATTTCATTGTTTTGTTGGCATGTCAAAAGTGCTATAATTCCTTAATGTCAATTTTCAATAGACCCCATTTGAACCAACTTGAAAACTGGGACCAAAATCATAAATCTAAGTACATATTTATATTCAGGATATTTGATTATTTCTATTTATCATTCAAAGAACCCTAATTCATTGTAATTAGAGTTCAAGTTTTGTTAAAATTAAACTTTGTTAAAATTTGGACCCTTTGGACTTTAAAATGTGGACAAATTTGAAAACCGGACCAAAATTAAAAATCTAAATATAAAACATTTGCATTTTGTATATCAAAAGAACCTCAAGAATTCAAGTTGTGTAGAAATAAGAAAAAAAATTTTGGACCATTTTGAAATCAATGTGAACCAATTTAAAATGGGGCCCAATAGCAACATCTTAAATTATTTAAATACATTGTTAGATTTAGCATATTAAGAACCCAAATAATGTATTTATTTTAATTTGTTCTTGTCCTAAACATGCATGAACTATTTGCCATTGGACATTAGCATTACCAACAACCAATCAATTAATCGAACAGGTGAAATATCTTCAAAAGTACCAATAAAAATCTCCCCCTTTTATATTTGAAAAAGTAAAATCACAAAAATACTGAACTCCAAGGAAAATTCAAAAAGGAAAGTCCACAATCAAATGGCAAAATCAAAAGTTCAAACATATCAAACTAATGGATAACAACTGTCATATTCCTGACTTGGTACAGGCATTTTCGTATGTAGAAAATGGTGGATTGAACCTGGTTTTATAGCTAGATAATAAACCTCTCACTTGTATGACAGTCGCATCAAATTCCATTATATTGACAACGATGCGTGAACAAAACAAACAGACACAATAGGTAAAATTGTCAAAAATAGGGGTACAGCAGTCAACATTGTGTTATCATCTTAATCACTATAAAAACAAACAAATGTAACAAAGAAGCACAAAAAGGCATACATCAAATTTAACATCCTCATTTTGCTTATATTATACGATTTTATATATCTATGTAAAATCCACCCATAAAGGATGGAAGGTTTTAAGTACTGGCGTTTGAAATTCGCACAGGTAGACATAAAATAATTTTGTCGTTCAAAGTATGACGGGATACATAAATACAGAGTCACGTAAAATGGATATCACAAAAAACAGACTTAACAGTAAAAGTAATATGTATTAATAAATAAATTATTGAAATGGAATGTATGAACAGTTCATTAGTCATTGTTAGTTATTGAATGGAAACTATAGGAGCCGCCCAATATAGTACTACAAATTAAAATTAGCAAAGTGATTTTTCAATGGGAAAACCAAGTTAACAAAGACCTGTTTAATAAAACTGATGTACAAATGTATAACATGTAATTGTATAATTATGTTATTATATAAGTGATTACATATACTTTGTATGATTACCATGTTATACAAACAGTTAAATTAATATATAAGTTAATAATAACTTACCAATATCTTCTTCTATACATGTATTTAGTTTGACCTGGCTATTGTCACTTTTACAAAAATTCATCTTAATTGAGCATTGCTTGCATATATATAGCCCTACAAATAAAAAGTGTAAACTATAAAATAATTCTTCAATTTTGTTTTACATGAAATAAAATATATCAGACAGGAAATGTAGGGTAGTGTAGCATCACTGTGCATGTAGTTTAAATGTATGTTTTTTCTTTTAAAAAGGGCTCTATAAGTAATCTACATACATGTACAAAAAAAAAAATGTTCATGTAGGGTCCTAAAATTGAACTTTACAAAAGTTTGCAATGCTTTTGATTTTTTTAGTCTCCATGGCCTATAAGTTCATTAAACAAGAGGCTCTCAAGAGCCTGAATCGCTCACCTGTATTTCAGAGGAGAAGATTTTTAAATGTTAGCAAACTTGATGAACAAATTGTGTAAAATTGTCTTTAAAGGGCAATAACTCCTTAAGGGGTCAATTTTGGTCATATTAACTTTTTTGTAGATCTTACTTTGCTGAACATTATTGCTGCTTACAGTTTATATATTTCTATAATAATATTCAAAATAATAACAAAAAACTGCAAAATTTTGTTAAAACTACCAATTCGGTGGCAGCAACCCAACAATGGGTTCTTCGATTCGTCTGATAATTTCAGGGCCGATAGATCTTGACCAATTACACAATTTTAACTCATGTCACATTTGCTCTAAAAGATTCAGTTTTTGAGATATAAGCCAAAAACTGCATTTGACCCTTATGTTCTATTTTTATACGACCGCAAAAAAATTTTTGTGGTCGTATATTGGTATGACGTTGGCGTCGTCGTCGTCGTCCGGCGTCGTCCGAAGACACATTGGTTTTCGCACTCTAACTTTAGTTTAAGTGAATGGATCTCTATGAAATTTTACCACAAGGTTCAATACCACAAAAGGAAGGTTGGGATTGATTTTGGGGGTTATGGTACCAACAGTAAAGGAATTAGGGGCCAAAAAGGGGCCAAAAATAAGCATTTTTGTAACTTCCAGACATAACTTGTGTGTTAGTGTATGGATCTCTCTGACATTGTACCACAAGGTTCCATATCACAAAAGGAATGCTGGGATTGATTTTGGGGGTAATTGCCTCAAAATATTAGGAATTAGGGGCCAAAAAAGGGGCGAAAAAACAAGCATTTTTTCTAGTTTCATGACAATAACTTGTGTGTAAGTGCATGGATCTTTCTGAAATTGTACTACAAGGTTCCATATCACAAAGGAAAAGCTGGAATTGAGTTTGGGGGTAATTGCTGAAACGTTTAGGAATTGGGGGCCAAAAAGGGGCCAAAAATAAGCATTTTTTTAGTTTCCAGACAATTACTTGTGTTCAAGTGTATGGATCTCTCTGAAATTGTACTGCAAGATACCATACCACAAAGGGAAGGCTGGGATTGATGATGGGGGTAATTGCCTCAATATTTTAGGAATTAGGGGCCAAAAAGGGGCAAAAAACAAGCATTTTTCTAGTTTCAGGACAATAACTTGTGTGTAAGTGTATGGATCTTTTGATATTGTACTACAAGGTTCCATATCACAAAGGGAAAGCTGGGTTTGAGTTTGGGGGTAATTGCCCTAATTGTTTAGGAATTTGGGGCCAAAAAGGGGCCAAAAAACACATTTTTCTAGTTTCCAGACAATGACTTGTGTTCAAGTGTATGGATCTCTCTGAAATTGTACTGCAAGGTACCATACCACAAAGGGAAGGCTGGGATTGAGTTTGGGGGTGATGAATCATAAGGGGGTTCAAAAAATTTGGGGGGGGGGGGATTTTTTTTTTTTTTCCTTTTTTTTTTCTTTTAAAATTTTCCATTTTAAGTTGGTTATTTCTGATTTATATTTAAAAGCAAATAATAATGATATGGTAGGAGATACACACCAAACAGGATGTGTAAATTATTATATAATAAGTATTGTGCAATAGCAAGAAATTTTCAATTGCACAGTATTGCACAATAGCAAGAAATCTTCAATTGCACAGTATTGCGCAATAGCAAGAAATCTTCAATTGCACAGTATTGCGCAATAGCAAGAAATATCCAATAGCACAATATTGCGCAATAGCAAGAAATTGTCAATTGTACAGTATTGCGCAATAGCAAGAAATATTTAATTGCACAGTATTGTGCAAAAGAAGATACTTCGTATAAATTGCTTATTTCTTGACCAATTTCAATGGGGTTTTATTCTTGAATTCTTGGGGTTCTTTAATATGCTGAATCTAACCGTGTATTTAGTTTTTGGATTTTGGGCCCCGTTTTTAAATTGGTCCACATTGAGGTCCAAAGGGTCCAAAATTAAACTTGGTTTGATTTCATCAAAAATTGAATTATTGGGGTTCTTTGATATGCCGAATCTAACCGTGTATTTAGATTCTAAATTTAGGTTCCGTTTTCAAATTGGTCTACATTAAGGTCCAAAGGGTCCAAAATTAAACTTAGTTTGATTTTAACAGAAATTGAATTCTTAGGGTTCTTTGATATGCTGAATCTAAACATGTATTTAGATTTTTGATTATGGGCCCAGTTTTCAAGTTGGTCTAAATTGGGGTCCAAAATTAAACTTTGTTCGATTTCAACAAAAATTGAATATATGGGGTTCTTTGATATGCTGAATCTAACCATGTATTTAGATTTTTGATTTTTGGGCCCCGTTATCAACTTTGTCCACATTGAGGTCAAAAGGGTCCAAAATTAAACTTTGTTTGATTTCATCAAAAATTGAATTCTTGGGGTTCTTTGATATGCTGAATCTAACCATGTATTTAGATTTTGGATATTGGACCATAATAGGTGAATGTCCAATTTAAAATTTTTAAGTTCTTAGACCACATTCATTCTGTGTCAGAAACCTATGCTGTGTCAAATATTTAATCACAATCCAAATGCAAATCTGTATCAAGCTTGAATGTTGTGTCCATACTTGCCCCAACTGTTCAGGGTTCGACCTCTGCGGTCGTATCAAGCTGCGCCCTATGGAGCATTTTATTAGCCATGGCAGCCATGTTTGTCGATGGATACAAACTTCGGATACAATTTATAAACAAGATACCCTAAGGAACATTTAGTTAAAGTTTGAAGGTAATTGGCCCAGTAGTTTCAGGGGAGAAGATTTTTAAATGTTAGCAAACTTGATGAACAAATTGTTTAAAATTGTTTTTAAAGGGCAATAACTCCTTAAGGGGTCAATTGACAATTATGGTCATATTAACTTTTTTGTAGATCTTACTTTGCTGAACATTATTGCTGCTTACAGTTTATATATATCTATAATAATATTCAAAATAATAACAAAAAACTTCAAAATTTTGTTAAAACTACCAATTCGGTGGCAGCAACCCAACAATGGGTTCTTCGATTCGTCTGAAAATCTCAGAGCTGATAGATCTTGTCCAATTGAACAATTTTACCCCATGTCAGATTTACTCTAAAAGCTTTAGTTTTTGAGATATAAGCCAAAAACTGCATTTGACCCCTATGTTCTATTTTTATACGACCGCAAAAAAATTTTTTGGCGGCCATGTTTGTCGATGGATCAAAACTTCGGATACAATTTATAAACTAGATACCCTAAGGAACATTTAGTTAAAGTTTGAAGGTATTTGGCCCAGTAGTTTCAGAGGAGATGATTTTTGAAATAGTTTACAACGACAGATGACGGACGACGACGGACGCCAAGTGATGGCATAAGCTCACATGGGGCCCTTTGGGCCCCGGTGAGCTTAAAAATATCATTCTCTGGATAAAGTTGTCTTGTGTTACATGTACAGTATGTTGTATGTAAAACATGTATTTGTAGGAGGCTTTTCCACGAGATAAAAGTTTTTTTAGTAGACAAAGAGCTGAACAACTTCCAGTAAGAACTGAAAATATAACTTAGGGAAAGAGAATAAAAACCTGACCTGCTAAACATTGAATATGTTGAAATAGATTTTGATTATTATCATGATTCTGGTCTATAAATTGATTTTTTAAAGCAGAAAATAAATATATATTGTACCCTGGTTAATAGCTTGAAAATTAAAATTCTGTCCTAATCTGACAGGGACATAAATATTTTGACCATTCTAACCCTCCCCCTTGCTTTTTTAATCAAATGGTCCCAAGACAGAACAATGTATATACGGATATATATTATTTGCTTGCACTTTGCCATAGGAAATAAATAAGATGTCTTAGAAACAGGTCAGGTGTAAAAGAATATTCACATGCCCCTTCAACACCCACCCCCCACCCCCCCCCCCCTTTTTTTTAATCTAGCTAATGTATCAATTGTTGGTCCCCTAATTTCAGATTGACTATATTGAACAAATGAAAATTGATTGTAAGATTTGTACCTGTTCCTACTGGAATAACTCGTCCTGTATACAGCCTGTTTTGAAAGGGTGAAGATCCTTGGTCAGCTTTGGCTTTGCTGGAAGAGGGTTGGACGAGATGTTGACATCTTGCTTGACTATCATGTCAATGAATTCCATAAAAGTCCCTGTACTTCGAGCATATTCAAAGACAAGATGATGTAACAACCATGGGAAAATAAACCACTCCTTGTCTTATATAAAATAAGGAGTCCTGTTGGAAATTCTACACCATCATAAGTTTTCAGAATTATTCAGACTTCCTATTTAAATGTAGATGAATGGTAGTCTGTATCTGTATGAATATGTTTGGTTACCAATGCTGGTTTCAATACCACGGTAGAGAGAGTTTCGTTGATTTATTGATGGTGCGCCAGAGCAGTTTTGACACTCTCAATCTCAATTTTGGTGCGAGCAAGGTGGTTCCACTCGCTCACTTTTTTTTTACAAAGAATGATTTAGAATACTTTTGTTTTGCTCGTTGAAATCTAAAAACACTTTTTGCTGTTCATGGACTTATTTTTCCAATCAATATTTATCATGTTTATTCACTAAATTATTGTCATGATTGTCAAATTTCTTGGCAGTAATTATTTTTTTTGGAAATGCTATTTTGGTCTTTAGTGCATTCAGATATCTTAAATAGTTTGTAATATGTAGATGTATAAGGCTGGGATAGCCCATATGCTCATCCTAGATTATTAAAGTCACAAACTTCACTGTAAACATTTGTCTGCCAAACCATCACTGGGAGCTGACATGTTTGAGATCTTACCCAAGGGAGATAAGTCAATGGAAGAGCATAAAAGATGGACTCCCTGGTTTCAGACAATTTATTGATTTTTGGACTTGCAGTACAAATAGTCTTATTTCATTTTTCAGACAAATTGATTTTACTTGTTCGAATGATTTTATGAGCCAGTTTAGTACCAATTGTGTTTAGAATTTAATTAAAATCAAAATCAAAATGTGTCAATTTGGGACTAAAATCACCATTCTTCCAAGGCATAAATTAACATATAATAGTCATTTGCCAAGCTTAATATTTTGTTTTGATTTAAAACATACCCCATAGTTAAAACCGATATAAGTTGCAAACAAATCCGGAATGGGTCTTGCAAGATAGAAGCGAATGAAAACCACGTAAATTCATGTATGAAAAACCCCGCCTTTGTGTCCCTGCTCCTGGCAATGTGCCAAATCGTTTAAATTTTCATTTGTATTGATCATAACATAGTAAAATGGATGAGTTTCAGCTGACATTACTCTTAAAACTCAACTACCCCATTTAATATGCTTCTGGGTCATTCTTAAAAGGCATAAAAAAGTTGGATTTTTCCTTTGTTTCATTATGAATTTACAGAATTATGCAAATGAGGCTGTTACTAAAAATAGATACGATTCTGGGAAAAATTAAATGGTCAAATTCTTTTATTTTATGTCAAGGATTAAGATGATGTATAAAAATTTGTCAAGTTGTGATTGTCGATTTGGACGATTTTCTGAATATTGCATGGTTTTCTGGCGGATTGGCTCTTAATTAGAAACGGTAACGAGTAACGATTTTGATTTTACACAATTCACGGTAGAGTTTTATTGTCCCGTGTTTAAAAGTTCTGTTTGGTATTCATCACTGCGTTCTGTCAACAAAGCTTTTGTGGCAAACTAATCTCCCCCTACCTTAAATTCTTTGTACAGTTTTTGATGATTAATTGGTTGTTTATCAGACTGTATTTCCCGCCAAATTGTTCCAAATTCTTCTTTTCTGATATTTGTATCTTTCATGATAAAAGCTTCTAACAAGGCATAGTGTAAACACACATACTGTTCCTAAAATCATATTCATTTTGTGACATGAGCTACAACTTATTCTGTATTCTTTCTATGTTATAACCCTAACTATTCAACTAATATTTCATCGATATCTATGTCTCGTAGATCAATTTAATTTTTTCCCCATTGTAAGAACAAAAAATAATTGTCATATTTTATTATCGTCTATTATTTTTGTATAAATTCAGATCGTTGTTTTTTCTCGTTTGAAGTTTTCAAATACTATCATGCCTGGTCCCTGTAGAGCTTAATATCGTATTATTGAATGATGTGCTTTGCAGTGTTTGCTTTCATCAATGCCCATTGGTCTCTGGAGGATTGTTGTCTCATTTGGAATCTTAGCACATCTCTTTATTTTTATGTTATAGATATTTTTCTTCGCTGTTGTATTATATCTTAATGATACAACATAAAGTACACAATACATTATGAATATGATAAACCAATTAAGCTTATTTCTTCAAACAATTTTGCAAAATAATGTAAAGAGACTTACAGGGGTCTGCACCATATTCATTCGACTGTATCTCATTTTCTTTACAAACTTGACAATGTCGACACAGCCGGTGACACGTCCCTCATCGTAAAGAGCGTCTAGTCCAATATATGTTCCTGTTCTTCCAATGCCAGCACTGAAATATTTAAATTTATTCGTAAGATGGTCTATCTAAACTTCCTATGTTCATAACGTAAAATTGTAAGGGTAAGTTATGAGATTTTGAGATAAGTATGATTTTTTGGGAATACAATCTTTAAAAAAATCTGTAGCGCTTAAGTTTTACATGTTTAATTACTTGCCATAGCGTTTACATAGCTTGTTTTTTCTACTATTTTAAAATATGGTGGAGGAGCTAAAATCTTATAAATTATTTCATTCCGATTATTGAGGGGTAACGATTTATTTGCATTTAATATATAAAGTTTATTTCGCTTATGTACTGACACAAACATGCAACTACCGGTAACAAAGATGCAATACCCAACCAAAACATAAATAACAGGTGCCCGTAGCAAATAGTTACGTTTTATTAATTCAATTAAAAAAAAACCCAACCATTTATATAACTTCAGGAAAGATTCCAATCAACATGGCTTTGAACTAGCTTTCAGTAACTCTCAAGTACTCTCAGATCAGTACATTTTGTATTGTATGTTTTATTAGTTGGTTTTTATGCTTTGTATCAATCTAATGAGTTGAACCGTTTTCAATTGATTTTCATAATTTGTTTTGATATTGAGTTGTTACATTTTTGTCCCATGTTAGGGGAGGGGTTGGAAGCCCGTAAACATGTTTAACCCCGCATTTTTCCATATGTGTTTGTCCCAAGTCGGGAGCCTGTTATTGAGTGGCTGTCATTTATCAAATTTTTTTCTTTACTGTTTTGTATAGTTTGTTTTTGTGTAGGGATGTTGCATTGCTGTACCAGGTTAGGAGAGTAAGGCACCCGTCAATATGTTTAAAGCATCTACCTATATATGTGCACGTCCCAAGTGAGTGGTTGTCGCTTGTTGCTGTATGTCATATTGTTTTTACTTTTATTGTGTTGTACAAAAATCACGCCGTTACTTTTCTCGTATTAAAAAAAAAGTTGAAAGATACGGACATTCATACTCATAAGTCGAAAATAAACTGAAAACACCATGGCTGAATTATTTAACATTTGTAATACTGGGTCTTTTACTACTTGCTATGCAATACGGGTTTGGCTCATTGTTGAAAGCCATACAGTGACCAATAGTTGATTACTACTACATGTTGAGATCTCTGGTGGAAATTTTCTTATTAGGAATCATATCACTTCTTCGTTTTTTATATAGAAAAGATTTTGATACAAAATACTAATTGCGAGATTAAGACTTGATTAGACAACGAATAAACAATAAACGTTTAACATTTAATTTACTTAAAGTGCGCACAACACTTAAAATACTTACTCGGGTCTGCTTGGTAAAAAGTTCGGAAAATGAATTGGTAGAAAGGAGATTATGGTACAAAGAGTTGTAAGGTATAATCCTAACAAACTAGTAAAAATTAAGTATAATAATAAAATGAAAGATTATGAACGTTTGTATATATCATACCTGTATAATTTTTAACCACATATATGTAATAATGTTTGGAACTTCTATTAATTACCTGCAGTGCACAAGAAGTTTGCCATTTTGAGCATCAGACTGATCTGATATCACACGTTTATGAAACAATACAAGGTACAGAGGATCTGGTGTTCCATGATCAGGCCAGGTTGTGAAATGGTACTGGATAACAATCCGTTTCTGCTTCGTCTAAAGTTGAAATAAACATAATACATTAAGTATCCCTCATAAGAGGTGAAATAAAAATACTTTAAATAATTATAACCTCGGGGACTTACCGTTCACATGCAGAGGTATCGACCAAGTGATAGTATATATATGTATATCGGTACTAAATCTACTGTACCAGATGCGTATTCCGACAATTGGTTGGGAGACAGAATAAAAAGAGGCATGAAATATTTTTTTTCGAGGTAAACATCATAAAGTTTATGCAGTAGATAGTGAAATAAAACGCCCACCTTTTTATCTTCAACAGATATTTCTCTGGTAATATAAGCTGCTCTTTCTTTTTCTGACTGCAGTGTGAGAATAAAGTGTCCTAGTACCATTGGCTTTCCTCCTTCAGGCCAATATTTACCACATTTTTCCTTCAAGACAAATATGACAATGTTAATAACATTCGTCATTTATCATTAACCCACAGGAGAATAATGCATCCAACATATTTGTCTGCTTTATAGTGTTCATATGGTAATAGAACTAACTATATCGAAAAGTGAAATAACTTGAAAATTCAATTACCATTCCATAATTTTGTGATTCCTTATCACTTTATATAATTCATTATCTTATTTAATAGGTGTAACACGAAGGGTGTCACATGTGCAGCAAGATCTGCTTACCCTCCCCGAGCACATGAGATCATCAAAGGTTTTTGATGGGGTTGGTGTTGCTCAGTATTTATTTTCTAGTTGTGTTTTGTATACAGTTATTTGACCTTTGTTCCTTCACTTTTGTCATGTCGTCGTCTGTTTATTTTAACTTATAAGTTTCAAAGTCCCTTTGGTATCTTTCGCCTCTTTTTTAATGTTGGGATCAACATTGATTTCACGTAATGTAAGATTAAAATTTTGATGATTTCCTGTATGATTTTTTTTTTATAGATGATGTTTACATTTAACTATAATGTTGATTAATATTCATTTAACATTTTTTAACCACTATGAAATATTAAAAAAAATTCAGCATAGTATTAATCCCAAAAATTGTGGTAAAAAAGACGAATTTGTTTGTTTTCCGGTTATTAACATTTTCCTATATGTAAACAAAAGCACTAAGAGACCCAAATTGTGGACTTTTTCAAGGATGGATGGTCGTTGAACTAACTCCAAACAAGTCAAATAAATACTTTAACACTGGTATTTGTTGCTTTTCATGTAAGATCGCGGTTTTTAAGTATATTAATACAAATAATGGTCGGATTTCAAAGATGTTTACTAGTTTTGTGACGAGTATTTCTAGCATTGAACAATACTAACTTACTTATTCCCTTTAACAATAAAAGTTATGCTTTTCGATGAACCATACACACAATATTGATATTTCTTACTTTTGTCCCTTCAATCAGATTGGTCAGCATTATGATCGTCCTAGTGTTGTTTTGCCAGATCATTGTCCAGTAGTCATGGAATGTATGCTTTAATGGTCCTAAAATATTAATTTTCGTTTTAAAAACATTACGGCATTATACATATAAAAATGAAAAGTGATATGATTGCCAATGAGACAACACTCCACACGAGACCAAATGACACAGAAATTAATTGCTATGGGTCACCGTTCGGACTTCAACAATGAGCAAAGCCCATACCGCATACCGCTCATATAACATAACATGTATGCTATATTATGTTATATTAGAGTCCATTACATAAAATGGAGAATGGAAATTAGGAATATGTCAAAGAGACAACAACCCGACCAAAGAGCAGACTATAGCCGAAGGCCATCAATGGGTTTTCAACGCAGCGTGAAAATCCCGCACCCGGAAGTAGTCCTCAGCTGTCCCCTAAAACAATTGTGTTCTAGTTCAGTGAAAATGGACGTCACACTTAACTCTAATACATATAAATGAACGAAAATTAAAAAAAACACACAAGACAAACAAAGGCCAGAGGCTCCTGACTTGGGACAGGCGCAAAAATGCGGTGGGGTTAAACATGTTTTGTGAGTTCTCAACACTCTCCCAATTCTAGCCAGTTTAGAATAAAGAAATACATAGCAATACGCACAGTAATGTATGCTTCATAAGAATTCGTAATTTTTATCATCAGGTCTGACAAAATTGCTAGGTACTCCCATAACATATTGCCGTATAAAATTGACAGCTATGACAACATGTTCTATCAGTGACAATTATAAATTTGTGCACAAAAAAAAAAATAATTCAAACGCTTGATTCAACACTTAATTTCATGGTTGAAGCATAACAGTTTATTAACAAAATGACATCATACATATTTCTGCACTATATTAAAATGTGCTTCGATCAACGCTTCTACAATTTGTCAACATTTTATTTTTAGCGTACATTGAAATATTAGTCAGCTATCGATATTTTCTAAATCCAAAAAGTTAATAATCATACTTTATAAAATTAAGAATGGAAATGGGGAATGTGTCATGGAGACAACAACCCGACCAAAGAGCAGAAAACAGAAAAAATTACTAGACTAAAGACGTAATAAATGTTAACTATTTCGGATACACGGTTTAAAACATTTCCGGATTAAAAGACTTTAATCATTGAAATCTACAACTTCGGATCCGTCACTGAATGAGTTTTACCAAGTTTTAGAACGATACTCACACAAAGAAACAAACTATCATTTGGTCATGATCACTTTTGAACTCTTCATTAACAAATTTGAAAAACATATTTCACCGTCATACAATTCTTAGGATGTGACATACGTAGCACAAACAATTAAAGAGCAAAATTTCCATCACCATATATATATGTACGCATGAGTCTACCCGGGTACAGAAGTTTTTTAAAACTATTGTTAATGTAACGGGCAGTGCAAAAAAATCATCTCTTATGCAATTAACATATACGGATGACACACACTTAAATTTACCTTGCGATGCTATATAACAGTTTTCTCTCTCAAAACCCTAAAAGTATAAACAATATACATGCTAAGAGGATAATCTAAAAGGTTATCATACTTTTTAAAAACACAATAATTGATGACAATTATGAAAGTGAGTTTGCCAACCAAATACAAAAACTATAAAATCAAAAAATGAAAAAAAGATCCGTTTCTACCAATACGACAAAACAAACTAATTTTGAAGGTCACTTGTAACTTTTCTGTTCTTCCGAGTGGGATTTACAATTTTTACGTTATATTCTTTTATGATATATTATACGTTAACAAAAGGTAGACGAGAAATAAACGTCATTAACACGACGGTTTATCTTTTTGCAATAATAACAAAAGTAAAACAGTCCATGTTTATATTACATGTACCATACTGCGCATCAAAAAAAAAATAAAAGAATTAACACGAAAGAGGAAAAAGCTGTTGTCACTTGTGGTGTCTGTATACATCAAAAACACCTGGCATACACATTCCCATTTTGTACTTGCATGCGCTTAATATTTTTAACAGAAAGTACGTGATCAAATTGAATTCTATCATTTGTGTGATAAATCTTTGAGGTTAATAAATGTTCTTAAGATATTTAAAAACCGTGAAATTTTAAAATCGATTATCAAACATCAATTATTTCAGAAATGTTAAAGGAATTTTGAACAATTCTTTTTTTAGACAATGAACGGCCTTTATTGAAATATCATATACAAGGGTTGTTAGATTATTATTTAGTATATATTCCAGCATTGAGGTAATGTTTTTTTTTAGATTTACGAGGTAAAAGCTTTTATTTAACAATCAAATAAACTATCCTCTTTGTAATAAAATGTCGCTCAAAGTTATTGTCTGAAGTTTTTATATCAAATATTGACATTATATTTTGCTTTAGAAATATTTCAATTTCTATCTATGTTTTTTTTATCGATAAACACATACAAAGCTACAAATAGTTGCTTATATATTCGAGCATTTGATCTTCTCAGGTTTTATGGCCTCCTCCACTTATTTTTTTACTTAACTTAGAGTTATTTTTGTTTTATACTTTATTATTTACCTTTTACTGATATTTTTCTATTATAGGAAAGAAAATATCCATCATTTATAAGTTTTGTTAACAGTTGAAAGAGAAATAAGAGAGATATATTATTGAACCTTAAATAATTAAATAACATGGTTACAATCATGGATAACTGTTGGTTCTTTTACAAGATACCACAAAGTCATCGGGTGAGATGTATCTTTTTTAGGATTCCACTCTTATCCATTATGTCTATTATCTAAATTATAATTTTGGACTTCTTATCAAAATCACAGTTCTTTCTGTAAGTATGCTTTTTTATCAGTAAGTTCAAATAACGACATAATCATCTTGAATGATTTACAAGAAACAATTTATAATCATAAGCATAACGTTAGCGTATGTAAATGATGAGATAATATTAAAAAAAAAACGCATGCTTATTCAGTACACTTTGCCAAAAATTGCATTATATGGTTATGAGTCTGACTACTATCTGTAATTTACAAAAAAAGGCATATTTGAACTAATCTCGAAGTATATGTAAACGTATTGTTATTACATTTTTAGCAAGAAATGTAATTCTAGGCACATCACGATTTAATCTCATAGCAATTTGCCAATATACATATTTAATGATATTTATCACCCTATGTTTATAAAACATATATAGAGAAATTGATTGTTCTTTGAAATACGTGAAAAAAGAAAATGGCAAACAAAAGTCCATTCTTATTACAAAATATCAACAATAACACATCTAAGAAAATAAACTGGAAAACTATCACGGGTATGGTAAAAGGATAGGGATAGATAATGGCTCACTGTGAAAAATTAATGATGTAATAATGAGAGTAAACACAGTTTGAAAATAAAATCTAATAAACAAACGAAAATCGTGATTAGAATTTTAAACATGTAATTGTTTATGAAGGTATGACGTAGAATATGACATATATTGGTTGAAAGTTATTAATAAAATTAATTTTCCCTAGAGCAAATTATAGAAAAAAGAACTCAAGACATTTATTGATTCATCATAGTTGATAAAAATGATTGCACTGAAATATTCACTTACGTCAACAAAATTTGCATTGATATAATCTGTATTCGACGATCCAGGAGTAACGTGCAAAGTTACTCGGGTATGGTCATCTGCAATGAGAAAAATATAGAAGATACAGAAAACATTTTTACTGGTCAGAAATGTACATAATTTTTAGAAAAAAATTGCCTTTACAAAAAACCTTGCCAGTTGCTTTTTATTTGTACTGATACAGTATCAAGAATAATGTTCATAACAGATTAAATACTTTAAGAAAAAATAATAACAAAGCAGAAACATATAGAAAAATTAGAATAAAAGTGTGCAATTAGATTAATGTCAAATTCATATAGTCTATGTATATATATAAAAAAAAAGTCCCATTCTTTTATGACCAAAGTATAGTTACTGCAGTTGTCAAAATTTATTTTTGTATTATTTGTCCCAGCAAAACATAATTACTATTTGCAGTGTAGAAACTGTATAAGTAAAATAGTCGTTTTACATTTTTCCGGCTTTAGGCAATCATTTTGTGTACCCAAGGCGGGTCAAAGAAGTCAACTTTGAAGCCAGTGATTTGACGTAGGGTTATAATAAATGTTCTATTCATTTATTTATAACTGCTGTGTAAACATTTACAATTACATGACTTTTGGAACCCAGGGAAATATGTAATTGCAAAATATTAAAAAAAGCTTCCATATTTTCTTAAATTTGATAAAAATGACGTTGACGAGTAGTAGTACAGACAAACTTCTTTCGATGATGGTCATGCCACCATTCAACTTCAATTTTTAAAACAGAATACTTAAGTACTATATAATATCTAACTTGACTGATGTGTCCCTGTATCTTATTTTAAAAAGTTATTAATTTTTAAATGTTAATATTTTCGCTTAGAATTATTAAGGAATAGATACAACCGATTACCCTGTACCGCATCAATTTGACTTTATACATTTATACATATTGAATGTTTACTGCGTAAAATTATATGATCATGCTTGTATTAATAATTTTCATCTAGCTTTACGTCGGCAGAGGTCATGGAAACACGTTATTTGTAAGAAACTTATAAAAATATACACGTACAAGGAAATGTTGTTTTAAATCTGTTCTTTAACAAATTCTCTTTCCGTTGAGCTGTAGTTGTAGGGTGTTGTGGACCGTAAGGGATTGTCTGTAAAGAGAAATTGTTTAAGAGAATACTGTGGAAATATATACATGTTTGCCTTATTATATTGTGAAATATGCGGAAAATGCAGTCAATTTGCATATCATAGTAAAGTGTTTTATTTTTCGTAATTTAAACATGCAGAGTCTTGGGGAGGTTCACTAACAAAAAACATAATCTTGAAAACTTTTTTTTAATGGAAATACATTAACCCATAATACATCGTATAATTCCCTTAAAACACTCAGCAGCTATTAGTTTCTTCTAAATAAAATTTTCTCCCCATATACAAATACCTTGTACTCGGACTGAAGACCTTCATTTGAATCTTTCAGTTTAATGTATTCCTTTAAATCTTCGATTTTAACGGTAGTCAATATATCAGGTAAGTTTTGATATGTGGTGCCTTCATCTAAATCGTTTTCTCTTGTTGGTGCTTTGGAAGGAATAAAGTCATCTGTATCAGAAGATGACTGACGACTAGCTCTTCCAATATTGATATACATCCCATCTTGGTGATCTTAAAACATATAACATTGACTTATAATCAATACTTTTAAATGAAATGGATTTAGGTATTTTTGTCCTACATAAATGTATCTAAAACGATATAAGCCAACTGATAACTTTGAGCGAGTCATTTAGGAAATTTATCTTTCATACCATGCTCAGTGCTTATTACCATATGAACAAGCAATACATTTCACAATATGTGTAACGATAAGAAACGAACTTAATATCATAACTCTTTGTCAAAACAAATTAGAAAAACATATGTTTAAACGTATCAAAACATAAAAATTGTAATATTAAGACAACTATTAATTATGATGAAGTGTCGTCCGTTGCCTCATGTCGACACATTTGTATGTCGAGTACCAGTTGTATATATCAACTGATAACACTAATCTGCCAGGACATATATATCTGTAAGTAAAACAATTTGTTATTTGATCCTCATTTTCAAATGTCGAAATGATATGCGTTAGATGAATAAATATGGTTTTGGCATACATACTCATCAGCCTGTTATTACAAATCTGGAATCACATATTTGTAAAGCAAATGATAGATGTGATCCACAGATTAAAGGTCATACAAAAATTGCAAGGAAATACAAAAGGAAAAAAAAGGTTGCTGTTAAAAAATATTCAATTACTATTATTATCATTTATGAGAGCGAGGTTAGATGGATATCCTTTTATTTATGTGTATGTCATTTTATTTTAACAATTAAAACAATTTTCTCGTGGAAGTATATTTTTGTGCATATACCTTGTCGTAATGATACAGGTGTATCTGCAAACTGAAGTCCTTGATTTTCTGTAGATAATCTATCATCAGCAGGTTTACGTCTTTTGCTATTATAAGAAGGGAAATCAATTATTTTCACTCTAATGCATAATGCATAATTATGAATACAGCCAATAAAGATGACAAACGTACCATGTTTATTATCAACTCATTACATCTCAACCCGACAGGTGACACAAGTAGGGCTGCTTAGCCTTTGTATATGTTATCTTAATAAAGTGGTTCCTAACTTTTAAGTTTATATAAAAAAAACTTTTGTACGAAAATAAGAAATAAATAAATAAAAAAAAAAATGACGCGTTCACTTATATTCAAACCTGTGTGAAATTAAAAACAGTTAATGTGTCTTAAATCGTAGACCGTCAGAATAAACTTACGTACTCTAATATTAAAAAATAACCAAAAAACATATGACAACATTTTAACTTAAAGCGTCCTGATCCGCATTGTTCATACGAAACTAATCAAAATTGATTATGATAGATGAACATATTTGTTTTTCGTTAACTATTTTGTTCATAAATTAGGCCGTTAGTTTTCTCGTTTAATTGATTTACATTTGTTATATTGGGGCCTTTTATAACTGACTATGCGCTATGGGCTTTGTTCATTGTTTCATTGTTAAAAGACGAACGGTGACCCATAGTTGTTTATATCTGTGTCATTTAGTCTCTTGTGGAAAGTTGTCTCATTGGCAATCCTTCCACATTTTTTAAAGACAATATATTCTCTAGAGAATCAAAAACTAGAGATCGATTAAAAAAAGCGTTGCAATAGATTAATTTCAATTAACCATGTTTTTTTAATTACCTTTTCGTTATATATACAACTATGATCACGACAATGCAAACTAACACAACAATACCTCCTCCAACACCACCAGCTAGGGAAGCTACTGATCCAGCTGTATTGGCCTCTACAATGAACGTTTTCAACTAATTAACTTTATCATATTAGGATAAACCGGTTTAATAAAAGTAGAACTCCGTTTTTCCCAGAATAAATCCTAATTGTTTTCGAATTTAGTCACTTTTCATAATACGTCATTTCGTAACGTCATTCATGCGTTGTCAACAAAGTGCAAATGCTGCCAACATAGTTAGCTAAAATTTAATCGTTGAACAACATGAAGCCACAAAAAAAAAACAAAGAAAACTAAGGGAACTACAGGACAATCACCAAATAAAAAGAAGAAAACACAAGGGACAGCATCATAACTAACAAAAACGACGTTATACCAAAATAGGAGAGAGGATCTGTCAGATCACACAACAGAGCCAACAGAACAGCAAAGAATGACCCTACCAGAACAATTAAGAAGCAGGGACAAGGAGACGATACAATTTCAGGCGGCTCCGTGCAGTATTTCTTTGGACAGTGGCAGAGACCAACCTGAGATGGCTGGAATTGACCAAAACCCAGTACCAAGACAACATATAGCTACTACCGGTATGTTTAATAATACAACAGGTTTACGTGATTGTAACAGGGGTTATTCACAGGGTCTTATTTTAGACCTCGTACACGAAAGTGTAACGCCAGTGTACACATCAAGTGTTTTTGACCCTGTAGGTGCCCATATACCAGTTAAAATTAAGGAGAAAAATTGGGCCGGAAAATATCTTGATTTACATGTTTTACTTAAATCTGCAAAAGATTAAGCAACAGACGCCCATTTAAATGGCGATCTTTCAGTAAAAGGGGGGATATTAATTATAACTCCACAAAAACAGAGCACCATCACAAGTATGCACGTATGAACATCTGCTTTCATCATCTTTATGGATATAATGCTAGAAAAATGGCCTAATAAAGGACAAGAGTTCCTGAAATACATGTACAACGTTCGACTAGCTTCATCTAGAGGTGATGGCTCAGGTTGGGCCATATATGATGAAAATACCGCCTTCGTAAGGCAAGATGTCCTCACTCGTCGTGGGCAGAGCTTGACATGGAGCTGTGGGTATTGTACGTCTCTACTCCTCAGAGAACTGTTCATTCAGATACTAATCATTCTATTGGGGATCAAAAGGGATCACAGTATGTCCACAATAATGAATCTGAACAGGTACAAAGATTCTTAGAACCATGCAAGGGTTACAACTTAGGCAGGTGTTCTTATGGGGCAGCATGTAAATTTGAACATGAATGTTTTAGGTGCTCTGAAAACCACCCTATTGGGGCCTGCAAATACAGGTAAGGTTTACCAGTTATACTCTCTTTTAGGATGTTCTCCTATTAGTGTAAATGAAGCAAACAAAAATGTTTAAACGACAAAAGTCCATTTTGAGTTATGTCCCTTGTTAGAAATTTAGTGTTTCCACTTCGAAATATATTCTCTTAATAAATTATAGTATATCCTAGTGGATGTCTTACCTGATTCTTTTATATGTATTTTTCTAAATCCTGATTCCTGATGCGTTAATAAAACGGTATCGGCATAAAGCTTGAAAGTTTGAAAACCTCTGGGTAGGAAACTTGGCACCGAGCATCAGTGATTGCAAGTATAAAACAAAAATCTGGCACTGAGCATCAGTGATTGCAAGTATAAAACTTAAATCTGTCACTGAGCATCAGTGGTTGCAAGTATATAACAAAAATCTTACACTAAGCATCAGTGATTGCAAGTATAAAACAAAAATCTGGCACTGAGCATCAGTTATTGCAAGTATAAAACAAAAATCTGGCACTGAGCATCAGTTATTGCAAGTATAAAACAAAAATCTGGCACGGAGCATCAGTGGTTGCAAGTATATAACAAAAATCTGGCACTAAGCATCACTGATTGCAGGTATAAAACAAAAATCTGACGCTGAGCATCAGTGATTGCAAGTTTAAAACAAAAATATGGCACTGAGCATCAGTGATTGTATGATTTTCATGCTAAAACAAAAATCTAGCACTGAGCATCAGTCATTGCAAGTATAAAACAATTCTGGCCATTAATGAGCATCAGTGATTGCAAGTATAAACAAATATGTATAAAACAAATCTGTACATGATTTATATGATATGAAAATAAAGTATTTCCATTGTAATGCACTTTAATATTAGATGTGCTACAGAAAGCAATGCATATAGAAATGAGTTGACATACTAATCAAAGCTTGCTAAAACAAAATAAGAATGTAAACAATTGGCAAGATGCACCTGAAAGGTTCCCTACACCCTGAGGACCACTTATTGTTCCGCGTCTAGAATATTAAAAGCTGTTGTAAACTGATAGTGATAAGCAAGTGAACTCGGTAAGGGTGGTGCCAATAAGTTTCAGTGGAGTTTCGGGGGGAATTGTTTGGCAGTGAGTGGGTATGCCCCACTCATTTGGCGGGATATGGCAAGATGAAAATGGAACATGTCCCCACATTGTACGCTAGCTTATATTTGGGGTTCTCTTCAGTGTTCCCACAGAGTTTAGCTTGGGTCTTCTTTGAATGTATCAAAGAGACCGGTTCTTGAATTGGTCCCAGTTCGGAGCTCAGCTGTTCTCGTTGAATTTTAATAAGCTGCAAATGTAAACCAAAGAGTTCTTGGGGGAATATTTGCTACGTACTGGGGCTCATTTTCCATACGATCGCTCTATTTTAAAAAGCAATTAACGTAGAGGATTGTAGCTTTCATTGCCTACCAGTGAAGCATAGGCTTGCCAAAAATAATGGTTCGGCGGTTTGAACGTTCATCTTGCCTTATCTTGTTTGCGCAAAAAAATTATACTGTGGCCATATCATTCCAAATTCTTTGTTTATTATATTTATCTTTGAATATAAAAGGAGAAACTATTATAATATTATCAGAGAAAAGGGTTGATCGCACTTGAGACATATATTAAACGAAAGCGAGAAATTTGGTTGATCGCACATGAGACATATATATTAAATGAAAACAGTTTCGTATCTTTGATTAAACGTGTGTAGATATTTTAAAAATATGAAAGTTGTATATAAAATTAATGATGTTTGAACAACTTTGATAATCTGGAAAGGACACGCTGTAACTCGGAACTAAAAAACATTTTACATGCGAAAACATGTGATAAAGTAATTCAGTTCAACAATAGAAATATTGAATCATATTTTCATGTTAAATTTCTTGGTATCGTCACATGACTATAAGCGAATGCACACACGTCTTCTTTTAGTTGCATGCGTCGTACACATTCAACCAATAAATCCGTAACTTTCCACTCGTTCAGTGCCTGGATGGTTT